TAATGCATAAACACATGGAATGGTTCATCCATTTACTAGGAGGACGAAGGGTTACAAAAAGTGCATCGTTGTACACAATAGAACAAGAGGAGTCAAGGCAAAGTGGTGTTAGTGGCTTATAAATTTGTTTTTATACTCCTATTTACTAGTCATATCAATAAACTGTCAGTTATAAAATATTTTCAGAACTTTTTAAATCACTTTTTCAATATCAGCAGGTCCATGAACTACACATAATTAAAGAGGAGGTTTGCCAAAAGTATATCATTGTACATAACAGGGTCAAAAACATGACTCAAAAACTACAATTAATGAATGGCCCCAATTTCTATTAACTGTATTTACATAATCTAACATTTGATATATTGTGCTCTATCTCTACAACAGCCAAAATATTGTTACAATATTGATTTTTGTGCCTTGGCATCAGAAATCATTCTGACAAAGTCTGTTGAAGTGATAGCACAAATTGACAAATTATTGTTTTTTTTTTTTTTTTAACTTTATAGTTGAGTAAGATTTTTGATTTTCTTTTTGAAACTGTGTCCTGTTTTATATTTGTGGCGTAGTAAACACTAGTATTGTGTTTTATTCCAAAGACACATGGCAAATTTTCCATCAAATTCCTTTATTAGTTGATACAGTACATTGTTTTGTACTCGTTTCGGGCTTTGTCCCTCTTCAGTCAACTAAAATACAATATATATATTTAACTTATTACAGTAGAGAGTTTACATAAACAATGAGTACATAAACGGTATATAGACGTACCTTTTGGTTACACTTTGTATAATTTAAAAACGTAAAATCTGCTTTAATCTTTGTAAAACTAGTATATATTATAAATTAAAAGGTTAAAATATTCTAAAATCTCTTATAGGCATATTTCGATAGAACAAAACTGTAAAAAATTTTTAGCTATTTCCTTCCCATTTTTATTTTTTCTTATGCACTGGTATCTTAAGTGTTGCCATGTATGACGTTTGATAGAAAAAAATATTATTATAAAATTATTATTTATAATATATTAATCCAGTTTTCGTTTATTTTAAGACTTAAGTTTTTATTTATACTGTCTTTACTTTTCATGAATTCTATGGTTTCTTTAAACTTCCTGTTGTACGTTAATTTTTCTTTATGCAGTATTTCTACGTTATCTTTATCTATATTACATTTGTTTATAGTACAATGTTCGTAAAGGGCAGAATTTATTCTATTGTATTTAAGGTCTGCTATGTGTTCTTTCAGTCTAGTTTTTACTTTTCTTTTTGTTTCTCCTATGTAATGTTTTTTGTTTGCGCAGGTACACAGAATTTTGTATACTACACCTTGGTTTTCGGTCGGTATTTGCTGGTTTATATTGTATTTTAGTTGACTGAAGAGGGGCAAAGCCCGAAACGAGTACAAAACAATGTACCATATCAACTAATAAAGGAATTTGATGGAAAATTTGCCATGTGTCTTTGGAATAAAACACAATACTAGTGTTTACTACGCCACAAAAATAAGATTTTTGAATATAATAAGCACATTCATAACCGTAACAGGACAATAATCCCCTGGATAAAACCATGTAAAAACCCCCTTCAACAATAAACCTTACATAAAAACCCTCTTGTGTTGAAACCCTCATAAAAATAAAAGCTTCTCCTGAAACTAAAAGTTTCTTTGAAATTTATTTAATGCAACAAAATGCTGATACAAATTTTTAAATAATATACATATATAGGAAGCAATTTATTGTGACATCATCACAATGCCAGGTTGCGTTTTAATCATATTTTTAATTAATTTAATCATATTAATTTATTAATTTAAAATATATGCTCTGCACCTAAAATTAATAGTGGCTTGCCCCTGTATATCATACTTTTCCTTTAACAATACAGTTGTGTTGGTCATCTATTTAACACTTTTGGGGAGAAATGTTTGAATTGAAATAGCATGACTTACAGTTTGCATCGGAAGTTCTTATATAGTTAATCAGCCATTTGAATCAGCATATTTCTTTCTTGGAGCTTATGATGGATGACCAGCCAGAATTTGATGAGCATAAACTTGTTGTAATGCTTGTTTTCTTTGAAGAAATCCAATAAATTTCAAATGGTGGGATGGAGACTTCCAACATTGTACTGAAGACTTCTGTGCCATCTTCCACTGAATTGTTTGTTTTTGGTAATTCATCTTTGGATTGTTGATACATATTCCATATCTCGATAGCATATGCTGGTTATTGTCATTCACGATGTTGTGGTCTTCCAATATAAGAATCTTCAAAATAATCTACAATTGGTGTGATTTCTTGAGGTAGAAATTCTGACAATTCCTGTAAAGCACTAACAGCTTCATTTGTTGGCACATTTGCAAGAGCTGGGATCATTCTTAATTTCAGTACGAAGTCAGAGTCGTCTTGATAATGTTATTGTAGGACATTCTCTTGAATCTTCCAGTAAATGTTCTGACTTAAATGAAAGAAACACTCTTTAATTTCACAGTCTGGAAAAAATCTTTTTACACTGTTTATAACTGCCAATTCAAAATTGATCATGATACCTGTTGGCCTCAAAATGTATCCTGAGTTTCATTCTGCAGTAATGCATAAACACATGGAATGGTTCATCCATTTACTAGGACATGAATGGTATAAAGTTGAACAAAAAGTACAGGAGATGTTACGAAAGTACCATCCAGAAACCAGCAAGATGTTATTTCTAAGAGTCTAAGATTGTCACATGTTGCAAAGATTAACATTCTGTTATTGTTTGAACCAGAATTGAACAGAAGGAAATCTTGGCCATTGTGTGCAACATTGTAGCAATCTGGAATGATGATTTCATCAATATTCAGTGGAACAGATGGTGGATTATTGACAGCTTGATGTTGATGTCTGATAGTGCAATGTAAATGATGAACTGTAGGCAACTTGGCTTTTGTATCTTATCATTGAAAAAGATTGTGCAATTATTTGCTGTGGTCAGTTTCATCTGCCAGTCTTTTTATTTGTTGCACTACTTTGAGAACTTCTTGTGCTGGATCTGGTCCATGAGAAAGTCATTTAATCATCCCACCAGCTCTTTTCCATGAATATTAATTTTAGCTTTGTATATGGCCTTGTTACACCTTTCACATTCAAATGATACATCATTTTCCAAATTTTTCTGTTTTACATGAACAACATAACCTTCAAAAACCACATTCCCTTTTCTTTTATTAGATTTATTTTACAAATTTCATCACAGATTTTATATATTGAAAATATTGTAATAGATATATTAAAAAATCCTCAAGCTTACTTCAAGTGCATTTGGTTTTATAAAATTCTATTAATAAAAATGAAGGACTGTTATATTTAAAATAAAACAATGTGAAAAATAGTTTATTTCACAAACTATGAATACCAGTATGAACCACTGCAGTGACATTTACTTCAACACTATATCCACAGGACATGAAGAAAATTTCAACTTGCTTGGATTGTAAACTGCATGACTGATTTGCATAAACTTGATTAATGATAAATATATTCACTACAGTGGTTCATATTGGGTTTTGTGGTTTGTAAAATATCCACAAACCAGTTACTGATGTGAAACTCAAATAAAAATGAAAAAACAGTTTATAGTTCAAAAGCATTTGTGAAGAATTGTTTTTTCGTTTTCGTTTGAGTTTCACACCGGTAACAGGTTTGTGGATGTAGTTAACTATTTAATATTATTTACCTACTGACATGTTTCTGCAGAAAAAATGAGATTTTATCAAATTAAGAGTGTGATAATTAGTAAATACAGGTATCTCTTGCTTAATGCAGGATTTGAATAATGCACAAAATTAACTGCACATTCCCTTTTTATATGCAGCAAAAGTTTTAATTAACACAGCTTTAAAACTTGTCTGTACATAACATCGATATGTTTTTCTTGGCAAATAAAGTGTTAGCGGATTTGCTATTTTCATTTATTAAAATAAAAATATTTGTTGTTAATCAAAAATTTGTTCTAGTGGATGATGATTGTTCAGTTGAGTACCAAGGTACCACTATACTTGATTAATGCAATTTTGACATATGTGGTAGCATTGAGGGATTAATTAACTGCTTTAATCAAAGGATACCTGTAATATTTGATTTAAATCACGGACATTTAAAACTGGGGTATATTCACTAGGGGTTTAATATTGGCAGGGTTTACACAGAGAAGTTGTTACTTGGGAGTTATTGTCCAGAACCATTCACAACATATCCATATGTATAGAATAATGAAATAACGTGTTTCCTAAAAATCTTCATTGCAACAAAAAATTTTATTATACAAAGTATAGAGGTGGGGAAATCTCATTCCAATGGGATGGGATTTTCCCACTCTTATACTTCATAGATGTTTTGAAGAATGGTCTGATGTATGTTCCTGGAACATATAAACTCAAGACAGAGCATATTGTGTCAGACATTGAGGGCCTTCCTCTTGGGATGAATGAAATGCAAAAAGAATACTTCTGCTGGAAAGCATGGTTTAGAATTAGAAATTTCAACTGGAAAGAGAATATGCAACGTGGAGAATTTTATAGGAACCTGATGATGAGTAAAAGGTGGTTGAGAGAGAATGTTGTCCTAGTAAAAGCAGATAAGAATACAGGCATTACTACAGTACATTGAGGACACAGAATGTGAAAAAATCGGGGATGATTACGTAGATTGTTTACAAGAATGGGTCCATAGATTTACATGCACTCCACTAGCTAAACAACTGAAATTAGACAAAGATATAGTTGAATCACTGGATGTCCCTAGACTGTTTGCTTGTGCAAAAATGCATAAGCAAGGGCAACAGCTAAGATCCATATTAGACAAGGTCAGGTCTCCTACCCACAAGTTGGAGAAAGTGTTTTTATACTTTATGTCCAGAATTAAAAGTTAAATTATTATTGTGTCTTAATTATATTAAATTGTGATAGTTATTAATTATAAATAAATTTAATTATCTATTTAATTAACTTTCTTATAGAAAATTTAAAAAGACGGAATATAAAGCAAAGTTTCGACCATTTTCTTCATATGTCTATATTGATGGTGGATGGAAAAAACCTTCTAAACTTAAGGTAATTATGCCTTTTAACATCAGACAGATTTTTTTTAAAAGAAAAAACTATGTTATAAAGAAAGCCTTTAAAGTTATTTCTATCAATTAAAATACCCAAATTTGCATGCTACTTGATTATTAGCATCATGTGAAATTGCCTAATTAACTGTAGAACTTGGTTAATTAATTACACAGATTACACAAGCAAATTATGCCTTATACAAATTTCTTGAATTGACTACACCCAACACAGTGTATTTTATAATTATTTCAAACTCTTTTTCAACCTGTACTCAACTATAGAGCTTTAACCATATGTCTTCCATTATATATAATTTCTATTTTCTTGTAATATATAAACCATAAGTTATTATGTATGCATGCTTATAAATAAATAAATAATCATAAATTAATTACACAGATATATATATAATTAACTAACCAAGTTCTAGCCTGATAGTTAATCCTGCTCAATCATTTGATCATTACAGGTTGACATTCAAAAATCCAGCAACCTCTGTACCTGAGATGTGCCAGATTTTTTATGGTTATATGTGCTATATATATTTAACAAACTTCTTGATAACAAGCACTCAGTTCAGCGTTAATACGATTTTTCTTATATTGCAAGTACTTTTGACGAGTATTATATCGTCATCCTCAGGCGAAAAAGAACAAATTTGAAAATTAGAACGTGCAGAGGGTTCCAAGTAGAAAACGGAAAATTTTTCGTGTCAATTTCTAAATTATAACGTTCGGTAATTCCGTTGGTCACGTGCAACAAGCTTTTGCGGGCGTTCGAAATATCTTAAATCCACACGACTAGCAGCGCATGCATTGAGGAGCGATCGTACTAATTGTGCGACTCTTGGCGCTTTTTGCTGTTTAAACGCTGGTATAAAGTAACCCATATTTCGGACAAGTCAAGTGTGGGGCCGTTGCATGCGTCTGTGGTCATTGTGAGGAGCGCTTCCCAAATAGAATTACATTTATTTGTGAGGAGCGCTTCCCAAATAGAATTACATTTATTTGGGAAGCGCTCCTCACAATGACCACAGACGCATGCAACGGCCCCACACTTGACTTGTCCGAAATATGGGTTACTTTATACCAGCGTTTAAACAGCAAAAAGCGCCAAGAGTCGCACAATTAGTACGATCGCTCCTCAATGCATGCGCTGCTAGTCGTGTGGATTTAAGACATTTCGAATGCCCGCAAAAATTTGTTGCATGTGATCAACAATTACCGAACGTTATAATTTAGGAATTGACAAGAAAAATTTTCCGTTTTCTACTTGGAACACTCTGCACGTTCTAATTTTCAAATTTGTTCTTTTTTGCCTGAGGACGACAATATAATACTCGTCGAAAGTACTTGCAATATAAGAAAAATCGTCTTAACACTGAACTCAGTGCTTGTTATCAAGAAGCTATACAATTTTGGCATGAGTGTTATTTATTTATCTATTTCTATATTTAACAAAAAGTGACAACCTGTATAATCCTTTAAAGAAAAAAAATTAAACACTAAATGAAAATAAAATGAAATTTTAATGTTCATCAACTAAATAAAACAGTTCTACATAATTTTAGTTAGGCACCTCCAGAAAACAATGGTGTGCCAATGCGGTATATTTGAAAATGCACTCCAAAATCCATATCGGAAATCTGAAGGAACCATATTATTGATGGCTGGATTTTTGAATGTCAACCTGTATCATAATTTGGGCTTGCTTTTCTGTATATATTCATATAATGCATTTCCATAATATTACGTGAATACAAAGAAATAATAATTTCCATCAAAAACACATACAGGATTGATAAAAAATGCTAACATGTTTATTTTTCTATTAAACACTGCTTCAAGTAGGCAATTTTGTTTTTAACTTTTCTGCCCTGCAAGCACTGAGAGAGCCTTTTTTTTTTTTTTTAGCACATTATGGGTTCAGCCAGATGCACAATAGGTTAGCCAGGTGATGAGGGATGGGACACAGATTATTTGGACAAACCATCCCCAAAAAATTCTAGATGTTTTTGTTATCTGGTTTTAATCCCAGGTCTCCAGAGCTGTAGGTTACCATCTTAACCACTCAGCCATTGGTTGACTCTAGTAGGCAAATAAAAGATAAGAATCTTGTTACTTTTCAAAAATTACTTTAAAAATTATAAAGTTGAAAATTTGTATCCATTATTTACTTATCTGAAACAATATAAGATCTACCATATTTATTATCTTTTATATATTGTATTTTACAGTGTATAAGATGTATTTTATGTTTTTTACATCCTCATTTCAGCTTAGAATATTTAGGGAAAAAGTATCTGGTATATTTAAATACAACCTGCACCTTTGGCACTTGGCTCAAAATTCTTTTTACTGTATTCTGGTTAAAAAAGTAAATTAGAAGACAGACTTTTATTTATCAAGGAAAAAGAGTTTAAAAGAAGTCTTTTACAATTAAAATATTCAACATGCAAAAGCTGCTTAGCTAAAGCAAATAATAATGACAATAACAATGTTTAATTAAACAGTAATTTTTTTTATTTTGAGTGTTGGGCTAGGCTAGGTGGAGATTACAGGATGTAACTAGAAATTTCTGAGTATGAGTCACCCACATCATTGTTAACTTGCATAGATATAGTACAGGTAGATAGATTATGTAAAAAACACTGAAGGCTATTTGGGGAATTCATTAGCCCATGGTGAGATTGCAATTTCACACATAAAATGAGGGACGATTTTTAGCTTTTTTTTTTTTTTTTTGACATAAATTGCATCTTACACCCTAAAATAAAGTACATGAAAATATGCCAAATTCTAAACCAAATAGTACCATATATTTTGGGGCTGCATTTGGTATTTTAAATACTGCCATCTGAGTATTGTGGAAGTATTGGTAAGACCAAACTACTTAATGGCTAATTTAAACTGTAACAAATTTATCATTCAGAAAATCTGACAAAATTTGATTGGGCACATACAAATTGATCTAGTTTTGAAAATATTTTAATGATAATAACAAAGTCTATTGGTTTTCTTGGAAGTTCCTTTTTTAATTTTGCCAAAATCATAATGCACATAGTAGAATTTAAAACTTTCCTCAGTTTTATTCTCTACAGCATGTATGAACATCATTTGCTTTTTGTTTCTTTCCTCATTAAAGCACAATTTGTGATGTTGCAGCTTTTCAAGTCAAAGAGTTTAAAATGTTTATATATCACCTGATCAGATATATAAAATAATGAAAAGAATGAAGTTACATAAGAATGAAGATGATAAAATTACTGTAAATTATTATCTGTAATCTATGCTGTGTTGATAGTAAAGATATGGAATAGAAGTACGACATCTATTCCATATCTTTACTATCAACATATAATGGTCAAAATTTTGAGTATTTATAATCACTAACCAATCAACAACTTTATTTTACTCAGATCATCTGGGTAAAATAAAGTTGTTGATTGGTTAGTGATTATAAATGACAGCAACTGAGGATGTGTTAATTTCTAGAAAATTACAGTATTTTCATGACTGTTTATATATTAATACTATGAATTAGTTTTAAATTTACAGTAAAGTCGAGTCACATAAGTAACTTTTGAATGAATATATCTAGAGCTTAGGAGTGAGGTATTAATATGATGAACTGACCATGCACTACCAGATGAGACTGATGATAATGCCTGTAGTTATGAAATTTGGATATTAGCATTCCTGTCTCAGAAATCATGAGAGATGCAAGGAAAAAGTAAATGAGAAAGTTGTACAGGAGAAAAACATTTCACAGAAACAGATGATGAAAATAAAAGGCTAAAATCTTTACATAAGATACTTATACTTAGAATCTTGTAAGTATTCATACATTCCTCATGAAATACTAGCTTGAGCTTAGAACTCCTAAACTTGAATTACAATAATGTTGAATTTAAAGTACTTAAATGCTAATTTACATGTATATTTAGTCCAGATTTTCAATGCTTTGCTGTACTTGTTTTCTCAAAATGTATTGTAAATTCAATGTTCAATGCATTGCCACAACTCCAAAGAGGGCTTGAAGATCTTGCTTCTTCATTTTGTTTTCATTTATCACCATTGCTGAGGGATGCATATTTGCTTAGATGCAACTTTGTATGCATGTTGGTTTATTTAGAGGGTAGAAATACTTGTTACCTTTAATTAAATTTGCTGCACATTGGCATTTAGAAAATATCACTCTGTATCATATGACACTATCCTTGTATTATGATATTTATAGTAAAAATAATGAATAAAAAAATATATTTACAGATGTTTTTGACTTTCTTCTATGTTATATTTTAATTATAAACATTAGCATCCTTTAACCCTAGTATAAAAATGTTGTGAAACTATAGAATCTATACTAATATTATAAAGAGGTAATGCTTGTAAGTTTGTTTGCAGCAGGTAATCTCTGAAACTACTCATCCGATTTCAAAAATTCTTTTACCAATATTTAGAATGGAACCTCAGGGTGGACATAGGCTGTATATTATTTTGTTAAACATTCATATAAATTAAAATATATAATCTAGGTTAAGGCTTTTATGTCAACAAACGGTGCTACAAGTATGACGCCCTAAGTTTGCTTTTCTGTGAAAATGAACTAAAGCAGATCATCTTCTATCTATCTATGTAAATAAAAATGTAATGTTCGTTTGTTCCCTTTGTTCCTACCGATTCCTTTGAAATTTTGACACAACGCTGCATTTGAATACACAAGTGTTTTTATATAATATACATGTCGAAATCCTCCCAGGAGATGGACAGGATTAAGGCTTACCGTAAAGTACTCTGCTTCTATTTATACTATTTTAGATGCGGGTTTTTGCGTTTTTGATTGCGTTTTAATAGGGTACGTTAACAGAATATACACTACAAAGGGATTTTTCAATATTCCCCCCGTGGGGGAGAGGGACAGGATTAAGGCTTGCCGTGAAGAACTTGGCTTCTATTATACTATTTCAGATGCAGTTTTTTGTGTTTTTGATTGCGTTTTAATAGGGTACGTCAAGAAAATGTACACTAAGGGATTTTTCGAAAAATTCCCCCTCCCCACGGGGGAAGTGTTATACATTTATAATAGATACATTTTGAGCCACAACAACGCGTGGTGGGGTCTGCTAGTCTCTTAATAAACTTATTTCCATTTTGTATATTTATTATCTTGATATACATAAAAACAAAAAGGTAAATTTAATTTTAAAATATTTCATTTTAGAATGTTACAACAAAATTGGAAGTTAATCCTTGGTACACAGAAGTAGTGGAAAGATTAAAGAAAGCCGATGAATATAGATGGAGAGCACATGGAAGACCACTGTATGGAGAACAACAAGGCGTTCCATGTTGTAGGCAATCGGATGTTTGGAATCAAGTTTGGGATAAAAATCTAGTAACGGCAGTTGCAACAAAGTGAGTAATAAATGAATTTTTAAATTTGATTTTTATTAGGTTATTAACTTATTATAAGATAAGTAAATTTTAAAAAACATATTTAACTAAGGTCATATGACTCCTTTAGTAGCATATATCAAAAATATCACCTACGACTGCTATAGGAATCAGAAAAGGCTTTATTTTTAGATAAAAGTTTTTGGAATGCATAATTCCAAGACACTTGATTGAACAAAATGAGAAAGATGATTTGGATCCTCAGATCTGGATACTGTTGAAACTGACATTATAGATATGATTGTGACTTCAATGAACAATATTTCATTTTTAGTGTGAAACTTTTTTTGTATTTATTTATAAAATTAGTTAAACAGTGTAATTAAATATAAATTTACAGTTTAAATATGATATATTTATGTTTGGAAGTTTAAAATTCTTGATGAGCTCTGATGAAGCAATATGGCCACCTCGATAATTATATTATTAACATCATTTTTACTATTCATCTATATTAAACCAATGTAGATTAATGAGAATAAGTCTGCAAATGCCAATATAGTGCCATTTGCTTCCACATCTTGTTAGGTTGCTTGACATCCAGTAAAAGCTTATTAAACTGATCACCAGTGCATCGTTATTGTAAATGAGACTGATACATACTAGAAAATACCATATGTAGAAAAGTTGAAATAAAACATGGAAGTAGTCTGCATTATTTTGACTAACCCTGTATTTATAAAATATTTAAACTTTCTTAATAAGCTACTTTAAGAGATTTATAATTCATATAAACTCTATCAACAAATACTTTTTCCTAGAATTTACAATATATTTTACATATTATGTCATTTGGCAGTTTGTTAATTCAATTATTTATTCAGTAGTTTTAAATTTTAAATTGTGAATATGATAATTTTCTCTACAGATATTTGTTGTTTAATTACAATGCATTATTAATATAAAGTACAGTCGACCCCCCTATAATTACGGTCCCTATAGTTACGATTCCTATAAAACTACGAAAAAATTGCTACCGGTATCCGTAAAAAATAGTAAAAGTTCCCTATAAACACCTCAAACGTCATCGGGAAGCCGAACTACTTTCCCGCCGTCCGTAGCGCCACGCTACGGAGAGATTTCTATCGTCTGGACAGTATTATATAAATTATATATAAATTAGGTACTGTACATATAATTATATATTAATTATATATAAATTAGGTACTGTATATATAATTATATATTAACTTATTGTAACTTTGTTATAATTAAATATATAATTTCCGCCGTCTAGCGTGGCGCCACGCTACGGAGATTTTTACGCTAACTATCGTCTGTCAGTATGTAAATTAGGTACCGTAAGTCTAATACAGTACTGTAATTTTATACATTTCTTGTGAAAGAAACATTTCTTATTCAACGGCGATTAAAATTATTTATATTAATGATGTCTCCGAAGTTCTACGAAGTTTTCACAGAAAAATAAGTTGTTAGAAATCGGCCGCTCTTTGCTGAGCTGTTCCGCGACGAAAACAATGTTGAGCAATGGCAATGTCGAATGGTGACACTCGGTAAGTAATCCTACAATTTTTTGTTTATAGCGTAGTTTATACGGATTATTCCCAAAAAATATATACGTATTTTGGAAATGTTGAGTCGGATTAGTCTAGAATCGATTAATTTTATGGAAGAAAATCTTTCAAACAGCCGTAGTCCGTAAACTTGATACGTGTCGGGTTGTGATTGGAAGGATTCGTAAGAAAGCGGATTCCTAGAGAATGGAACGTATCTCTATCTTATAGGGGGGTCGACTGTACTTTAAATAATTTTTAAAGATTTAAATATGTTTAGATTTTAATAATATAAGAGAAAAAACTGTCAGATTTATTTTTACTTAAAAATTATTTTTAAAATTTAATATATAAAGAATATTTTTAATCATTTAATTGAATTTATTAGTTTATAGGAAAATTTTATATTTGTAGAAAACTGCCAGTGAAAGACGACAGAACACGTGATAGACCGCATACAGCTCCCACTGCCAAAGTTCCTTTACCGAAGTCTCTCTATCGTAAACCAAGAAATGGTCAGGTTAAACATGAGTAAGTTAATAAAATTTTTATTTGTATATAAAATTCAAAATAAGTTCTTTGAATAATTTTTGTTAACATGCTTTTTTAAGTGTATTTAAGAATGTTATAAACAATTCATGGTTTATTGTAAGGTAATATTAAGAATTAAAAATATTTCTTTATTTAATAATAATAATAATAGATTTTTATCTTAAGTAAATTAAACTTTACTCTGACACCGGGGATGAAATATTAAATACAGAACCTGTTACCGGTGTAATTTTGTGTGAAAAAATCCTCTTTTCACAAACGTTTTCGAAAATGTTTGTGAAAAGAGGATTTTTTCATGCAAAATTACACCGGTAACAGGTTCCGTATTTAGTATCCTCAATGCCACTGAAATGTTCCCCTTTTAAAGCACATTTAATTTTCAGAAATAGAAAAAAGTCTGCAGGTGCCAAATCAGGCGAATAGGGTGGATGTTCAAGCATACAGGTCTGTTTTGATGCTAAAAACTGTTTCACGGGTAGTGTGCAGTGAGCTGGTACATTGTCATACAGAAGAACCCAACTGTTGTTTTGGAACAGATGCATTCTGACATGAAGCATGTGAGCCAAGAGATGTTCTATGACTCCTAAGTACTGTTGGTCACTGTTGTGCCCTCAGGGAGAAATTCATGATGGATCATTCCAGAAGCATCAAAAAAATTANTATCTTAAGTAAATTAAACTTTACTCTGACACCGGGGATGAAATATTAAATACAGAACCTGTTACCGGTGTAATTTTGCGTGAAAAAATCTTCCTTTCACACTTTTTCAAGCTTTCCAGATAGCTCTTCTTCAGGTAGAGAAAAAAATTCCGACGGAACACTTCGAAAAATGGAATGTAGATATTTAAATAAAAAACCGAATCTAAAAATAGAACGCAGTTGTTTAAACAAAAAATATGAAACTCGCATAACGAACGATCATTAAGATGGTCATGCACATTCGTGCGCTGATGTTGCTATTTATAGATCGTTGTTTAGGAGGGCCTGCCACACTATAGAAAGATTAATCTCATCCTTCCGATTTATACATGTGGTCAGGTGGTTAGCTTTACAGATGGATATAGCTTCCCGCCATTTTAGATGTTCCAGGTGGGGCGTAGTGTCGATGATGTCAGCTTTGTCGAACTCCGGTTCTATATCGGGATCGGATGCAAAGGTGGTTAGAGCCGTGGTGTACCGCCCATGCCGAAGGTCTGCTTGATGCTCTTTTTTCATGCAAAATTACACCGGTAACAGGTTCCGTATTTAAGATTTTTATCTTAATAGATAGAAAAACATTCTTAAGAACATAAAATGATATATTTCCTTAATTGTAAGATGTACTGTATCATAAGTTTGAAATCAGATTTTAAGACTTTTCTGTGGAGAGAGAAATTTTTAAATGTCCAGTTTTTCTCATGTCTTGTTAAGTAACAAAAGAAAAAAACAATACAAATGCATATGTGATAGACAATGCTTGCCAGCTGTAAATAAAACATATTATATAAACTTTTATATCCCCAAAAAACTTTCATCAGAAAGGTATTTTAAACATTAAAAGAGAAATTACTATTAATTGTTCTTTTCTAGCAAAGCTCATTTCAACTTGTGATCATTGAGCAGGATAGCCAAAGACATTACTATCAGTGCATAAAGTATCGCATCATTCTCGTGCATGGTCTTCTGATTGTTGTTTTTGAATTGCAAATGCAAATGTAAAATACTATTGATTCTAAGATGAGTCTCTATTTCAGATAAGCAAAACTAGATAAGAAAGTGTGTCTTAGAATTGAGGAAATATGATAGTGAATATGTTATATTTCACAACTCTTAGTATTTTCAGTTGATCATAAAAAGTAAAAAGACAACACTTTTTAATAGTAAACTGAATCTTGAAAATTACAATAAATTTTCAAAACTTAACAGAAATTCTTGTTTATGTCTATTGTTTGACTAAAAGATTATTTTGAAGTAGAATTAATATAGAAATGAATAAAAATATACTTTTGTAGGAGATGATATACATGATGTCCCATAAATCTGAAACCATAGGAGTTACAGTAAAACCTCATTAAGCCAAAGTTTAAGGAGTAAAAATGTTCCAATGTGGAGTTAGTTTCAAGTTAACAAGTTTAATACCCAATTTCCTCAAACTTTTTTGCGATTGTAAATTTTGTGTTATCAAACCATTTCTCAAGAATCTGTTCATAGAATGATTACAAAATTTTATAGTTTATAGCATTTTTGAGGGAATTGTGAAGATACCCCACTTGTCCCTATCAGAATACCAATAACATACTGTATTAATAAAAGGATGTTGATGTGAGGTTGTAATGGCATGGTGTTGTGTTGTATTTGGCATAGAGATGTAATGTTTATCTTAATTGTCTGTATTCACACTGAATATAAGAGAAAATAAAGATCACAAAGCTATAAAAAGACGGAGAGACATGGGACATAAATTTCAAATTAAAATTACCAGCAATTTCAACTTAAGTAGACCATATTATATGGGAAACCATATATATTCTGCTCAGGATCTGTTCAAGGACTGCTTCAAGTTAATGCAGTTTAATGCAAGTTAATGCTGTTCAGGACTGCTTCAAGTTAATGCAGTTTGACCAGGTGACGTTTTACTATATCTTTATTTATTCTTTTACATGGCACTAAATAAGGAGGAATAAATTCAAGTTATTTTAATGACTTGGATTCTCAATCAGAGTGAAGTCACCAAAGGGTTTAACACGCTGTATTCAGGCTTTTCATCAATTGCATACAGTAGCCTGGATGTAGCCTGTTAAAATCTTCAGCAACTTCTTGCTGACTGAGTTTCCATCATTAAAATAACTTGAATTTATTCCTCCTTATCCAATGCCATCTGTAAAAGAATAAACAAATATCAACATTCCTATGGCTTCACACTTACAGAACACCCTGTATGTTGAGTGCAAATTTTCTAATTATTGATTTATTTTTCAATATCACTTAACAATATTTTTAAACACACTGCTTCATGATTGGTCACTAAGCTAAAATTGAATGACTAGATTAAGTAACTAGAGACACATAAATGCCTTATGTACTGTACTTTTCCAGCAATTTAAACTTTAATATAACTAACGTTTTCGGCTTGATTAATAAGCCTTCTTCAGGTTTTTGAACAGAGTTTCTGTTTGAAATGATATTTAAAAGTATGTTATTTTATAACAATATTGCATTACATTTTAAAAAATTAACAGGATTATTGATTAAGTTACAAATAAAACTAAAATATAAAATGAAATCATTTGAAATACTACAATGATGTTAGGTATTGCCACCTCTCCTTTTTAAGGAGGCTATTAAATAATAAACTTATGCATAGGAGAGCAAAACACAGTCTCTGCTGTTAATACAATGTCTTCTTAGTGTGGATTTAAATATTTCTAATACTTCCACCATTCTTAGTTTGCATTTGTTGTGTATTTGTTTTATAAGTTGAGCACTGCCAAAATCCTCTGACACCCTGGGTTTGCTTGCATACTGGGCAAGGGTAGTTACAGAATTATTTCTGTCGATATCATACTTACGCTTATTGATCCTGCACGTTAATTATCATGCAGGATGAAGATGTGCAAATGTTGAAACTATGGAATAAATAACATTTGAGAACCTAACTTCTGAAGTTTTTTATATAATAATTTTATATAGGACTAATTTGCTTTATTTTGTTTGTTTTATTTATCATATTCTTGTTATATATTCAAGTAATTCTAAACATTGTTTTTGCATAGAAAACCTTTAAAATCAAAAGTTGAAAGAAAAAAGAAGAGAGAAACAGAACCAACAGATACTGAAGAGCAAACTCGAGACAAAGCTGATGGTATATAAAAGAAAATTCTAAATTTAATTTATAGTAGAACTTGATTATAACATTTTTAAAAGAATAAATGAATAATTAAATTCTTTTCTACCTGCACTTAAATCAAATAACATAAAACAACAAAATCCCTTTAAGATACAGTTTAAATAAAAAGACTTCATCTTTATGTTATAATAATTAAATTAATTGAAATTTTAAAAAAGTTTTTAATACTTTTTCAGTAGTAGTTAAGTTATATATAAACAATTACCAAGCCCAAAATTAGTATTCAAATACCTAATTTCCAGACATTTTTAGACTCTACTTAGGTAATAAGTAACTAAACAAATTAAGCAACTTGGCCTAATGGTTGTTAGGTTGACATTTTGTATTAAATTTACTGTAAAATGCAGCCAATTGTCTGCCTTTAGGCCAAATTTCTTAATTTATTTAAATAGTTAATAGCCTAAGGATAGTCCAAAAACTTTGCTGATCAGATATTTGTATATTAAATTATAAATTAATTTATCAACAGCAGAGTTGAAGATGTTAACAAGACAAAACTGATAAATTTCAAATTTTCATAAATGTTTCTAAAATACAATATGTTTAACATTAATTTTTATAATGTTTGACTTATAATTAAAGACCAAATGTACAAAGTATTATTATATCAGGGATGGCCAAGTCTTGTGACAACAGGAGTCCTGTATTGCCTATCAGAAAAATACGAGAGCCGCAGCATCATCTGTTTATATTATATATACAGTAGAGCATTGATTATCCGAAACAATTTGGGACTGGGGTTGTTCGGATAACTGATCATGTATGAAAAAATATATTAACCTATCCCATGTTGAAATTTTTCTCTGTTGCATGTCGCTTTGTGTTGAATTTTCGTCATTGTTAAGCCTATATAAATATCACCAAACCCGATATATAATAAAGCTACATACCAACAGACTGCCGAAAACCTATCGGGCTAGTTTTATGCTAATTAATAAATAAATTACGTAATCAATTTGGCACTAGAGGTAAGCGTTCCTCTAGCTTACCTCTATTTACGTAATTAAATAAATTACGTAATCAATTTGGCACTAGAGGTAAGCTTACCTCTAGCTTACCTCTATTTACGTAATTAAATAAATTACGTAATCAATTTGGCACTAGAGGTAAGCTTACCTCTAGCTTACCTCTATTTACGTAATTAAATAAATTACGTAATCAATTTGGCACTAGAGGTAAGCTTACCTCTAGCTTACCTCTATTTACGTAATTAAATAAATTACGTAATCAATTTGGCACTAGAGGTAAGCTTACCTCTAGCTTACCTCTATTTACGTAATTAAATAAATTACGTAATCAATTTGGCACTAGAGGTAAGCTTACCTCTATTTACGTAATTTATTTATTAATTAGCATAAAACTAGCCCGATAGGTTTTCGGCAGTCTGTTGGTATGTAGCTTTATTGTTAAGCCTAACGAAAAGTTTTTAAAAATAATAATTGTGGCTATTGTATCATTAAAAATTATTTCTTTATTTTGCACAAACAAAATAAATATATTGAAAAATATAAAAACAAAAAAAAAATTATATTGCGGAAGTTAATCTAGTATCAAAAACGTTCTGGTTCAGCACGACACACATCCTGACACACAGTCCTCAGAAAAACACCACACAAAACAAGCAAAACTCTCTTTTTTTGGGTTTATCTGGAGATGTCATTCACTTGGGCTATATTCTCTGATGAGCTGAAGCAAAACACACCACTCATGATGGGAAAAAAGCTTCGGTCAAATACTGATCTGTCCTTAAGTACCCTCTCGACGTGTGTCATGCTGAATCAGAACGTTTTTGATACTAGATTAACTTCCAAAATATAACTTTTTTGTTTTTATATTTTCAATATATTTATTTCGTTTGTGCAAAATAAAGAAATAATTTTTAATGATACAATATAGTCATGCCAGCGCTACCAGCTAAAACACGCACAGCAACAAAAATAATATTGGAGTAGCCCAAGACGTTGCCAAATATTGCAACACCACAGCACTAGCAGAAATTTGAATTTGCTGACTGCATCGATTTCAGTTAATCGATGTTTCGGTTGATCGGTATTCAGATAATCGATGCTCTACTGTAGTTAAAATTCTACCATATAATATTGTTCTATAGTAAATATTACTATTACTTTACTTAAGAAGTACTTTATGACCAACCAGGTGAACAATCATTTAAATCTTTTAACTTTTCCCATAGCTTTCAGTTGCTTGTTTCAGGTTAAGTTGCAAGTTACAATTGTGTTTATATCAGACTAATATTATAGTCAAAAAACTTACAAAATTTTGTGTGTAAGTAACCAAGTTTATAAAAAGAAACTATGTTAGTATATGTATGGAAACCTCAATATTGGTATACAACACGTGGCTCATGAACAACAGTTTGGCCATTGTGATATTATATATTAGATCTGAAAAATCTGAAAAATACAACAGTATACTGTATAGAAAATATATTTAATTAAGGAACATTTAACAAAAGAGATTGCATTCTTGTAACATGAGAAGACACAAAAACAGGGCTGCAAATTAATTCTACCTTCAAATTATGCATATTTTTAATTATTAATTCTTCTTATCTTTTCTCATTATTAGATTAACTGAAAAATTTATTTGTAAAATTAAGCATGAAAGTTATTTTAGATTGAACACAAATGCTACTCTCGAGTAACTCTCACCAATGTTTGGAAATCCATTTATACTATGATATTTTATAGAAGGGATCAACTTGTCATATTTTCTAGAATATCAAGAAAACTAATAACTCAAATAATTATAAAATTATTGGTTTGTTATAAATAAGTTCTGCTTCTAATATTTTAGTAAGTTTTTACTTCAAAAATTATAATAATATAGAAACTTCAACTTTGTAAAAGATAAAAATCAAAACATTGAATTGCATAATGTTTAATTTAACAGAGAGAATTATATTAAATTTAATGTTTATGATCATATATGTTTAAAGCTCCTCCGGCTAGAAGAACTGCATCTGCCCCAGCTCGTACAAGTAGCGCTGCTTCTCAATTACCTAGTACTTGGAGTGGACAAAAATTATCCTCACAAGGAAAAGCAGCTACTCCTAGTAAGAGAGGTATGTTTAACACATTATTTTATTCTAATCATGTATTTGAAGTTATTACCTATCTGTAATATAAATATATTTCTGTGCACCCCTATTTAACAAATATTTGCAGCACTATGATAATTCTTCTCATAAATTCTCTCTTTTGCTTAGAGTTTTTGGTAATATTTCCATAAAATATGTTATAATATATCTTAATGAAATTGCAATAAAGATAATATACATTGGACCTGTCCCTCACTATCTGGTTGTCCCATTTGGACTTGACCAAACTCATAATGGGCTTATTTAAAAGGCCCTCTTAGTGCCCAGGGGGCAAAAAGAGTTTAAAAAAAGACTATAAATTGAATTTAAGATGGATTTTTTTTCACATTTCTTAACTTAGAGTTAGGTTGCATTTTAAATTTAAGATATTCTTCATCACTCTTAAAAAAATTTAGAAATTGTTAATTTTGGGAAAGAACAAATAACTGTAAAGCTAAATATAAGCAATGTAAAGAAATAAAAGTACTTGGAATGCAAACTTTTGAATGAAAAGGAGGAGGCATTATGGATTTCTCAATTGAAAATTATTCTATAAAAATCATTATTCCCAGAAAAGATGAGTCTTGGAATCAATATATTTTGTCTTTAAAACAGAAGTTTGTTGTAAAAAGAAAATACTATTTTAGTTTTATTTAATAAATTTTATTAAACCATGTTTTCTTCNATTAAAAAATTAGTCCTAGTTTCTAATATATTAATATTCAAATTATTCTATGAAGTGAAATCATATGCTGAAGATGGTCTTGAAAAGGCTGGAAATATCCTGAAATTTTTTAAAGTATCAACTGAACATTAAGATTACTTTCTTTTCTTTTTGGATTCCTTCAGTTTTGATTGAATCGGATTTATTTTATGCCAATTTTGTTTGCACCATCTCCTCCAAGAACACATCACCGGTGTAAAATGAGGGCAGCCTGTAGTTCAAACTGTATAACCATGAACATACATAATTTGTAATAAATCTATGAGAAATCAGAATTTGATTTACAGTGACTCACTTAACAATGATTTTCAAAAAAATTAAGTTATAAAAACAGGACTAGCTGTATTGAAAATGTTATTGTTTTTCATTCTACTAAATTTGGATAGATATATTAGCATAAATAACTTACAGTTTTGAAAACAGTAATTTATTAAGGTGACTTTAATGCTTAATTTGTAGCATCAGTCATCTCAGCAGCATACTAATCTTAAGTTACTATCAATTCCAAACCAAATAAGTGGTGTTAATTGTGTAATATTAATGCTAGATATGATTCAAGATTATTTTTATTATAGTTCACGTATAAATGTAATTTTTTTTCCTATGTCTAAAAGTAATAAATGAAGTGTAAACTAAAAATATTTAATATGCATAATTAATTACAAAATATATACATAAATTTAAAAAATTATGTTTTTTAGCCCGTCCCAAATCCGCTGAACCGACTCTAGGTCTCTCAAAACGAGACAGTAAATCTCCCAAGCATTTAACCAAGCAATCTATTAGTATTCCAGAAAGTAGCGCTAAACCTAAGGAAAATTTAGCAGGACCATCTGAATCTCCCACTAAAAAGGATACAAAACATAAAGCAGGTAAATACATATAATTTATTGAATCTCTTTCTCCACATTGGCTAAAAATAAAAATTATAATGTTAAAGATGTTAAGCAAAACAAAATACACCAAGGAATCGTAAAATAAACTCCAGTGTATGTTTTACTGATGGAAAATATAAATTTTCTAAATATTTACTGCTAAATCAGTAACTTTTTTTCATACTTCTAAACTTCTTTAGCATGTTTTTTATTTACAATACTTTCACTTACAAAGAATATGTATATAATTACCCTGTAATTCTTACTGTTTAGTTTTTTGATTTCGTTAGTTATGGCAATGCAGTGCATGAGTGATCTGCTTAGGGGAATGCTTTCCAGGAAGTCTTTTAAGAGTAACTGGTCCTTATTTAGGCATTAAAGATGTGTAGTAAACCTGAAAAACTCCACTTGACCAGCCCATCCTGTCAAGGCAAAAACACAACTGAACTACTAGTGTTCAGAGAATGGAACTGCTTGGCTACTGGTGGACACCATAATTCTTACATTCATTACTTATTATGTAATAATTCTGCCTCCTTTGTTCGAACTTTTACACTTCTATTTTATGCTTTCTGAACTAAAATTATAATTTGTGTTTTTGCAGCATCTTTCAAATGTTCCCATCCCATTGTCATCTTGTTTGGAAGGCTGTATTTATGAGTTGTAAAATTTTGAAAATTCAACACATTAAAAAATGAAGTTTTAAATTGAAAAACTCTGATAAATGAATTTAAAAATAGATATCTTAATCTTAAAAATTAGCGAATGACTAAAGTTATTGATAATATTTTATTAATAAATAACTTATTCTTCTGAATTGCAGGTCGAACTAGTTTCAAAACACCAAAAACTTCGGAACAAGTTTCTCATGCTGTTAAACCCCGTCCAATACATGCTTCTGCATCGGCAACTGCTGTAGTTAATGGAGAGGATGGAAAAATATGGTTGAAACCTTCTACTTCGGAGGCAAAAACTATTCAATGTGATAAAGATAAAGAAAAACCAACTATGAAAGAAAGCAAAGATTCTTCAAAGGATAGTTTATCAGATGAGACTTCTATGGGTAAAACTAATAATGTAGTAGAAAAAAGTGATAAAAAAGATGCTACCCGGCCAAACACTTTGCCGTCTGTTAATGGAATGGATTTAAAAAGTGAAAGATTAAATGGTAAATGATTAAATTTTTTAAGATAAAAACCAGTGATGTTAAAATGAAATAATTAGATATCTTAATGTAAAGTTTTTAAAAGGCAGTCATAAAGTCACATAATAGATGATACAATGTAGATGCTCAGTTTTTTTTAATCACCTTCTGTGTCAAAAATCTTTCAATACTTATTTGACAAATATTACATAAATAGTACAGTACATACTTGAATCACATGAATCAACTATGAAATTTAATAAATTATTGACTATCATCACTTGGTGATTTCCTGTTTTTACAACTGGTATAAATTTTCTGTTATGGTGTACAAAATACTGTATTTAAATGTAATTTTTTCATTATCTCTGTGTTTCAATGTATACAGGTTGCTCATTTTACACCAGATTGAGTTATACCAAATTAAATTGATAATAATGATTTCAAATTTTCCACAAAAAATCTTTTTCCATAATGTGTAGAAAATTTTTTGTAAATGCTAAATGCAAATATTTGTATAAGAATTAACAAATTTAGTAAAAACATTTAGACACTCAAACAGAAGAGGAGACAAATGACGATAAACTAGATTGTGTTATAAAGATAATAACTACTGATGCCCTTAAATCAATGGGTTGACTAATGCCAACTCATTGATTGAAGAGCATTGTGAAGTGGGCCCTGACTAGGAGTGAAGTGACTTAGGAAGTGATTAAATGAAGGCTTAGCACTTTATTATGAAATTCTCATGAAGAGGAAAAGAAAAGCAAGGGAAAATAACTTTGGATTCATATTTTAAAAGATGTATGATCCTAGGGCAATCATTTATAGAACTGATGTTGCATCCAATGATGCTGCTACATGAAATTGATACAAGAGTGGGATAAAAATTGCATTGTCAATTTTTGTTATAAATAAATAAGTTATTATTTTGTATTAGTCAAATTATATTGTTATTATTGAAAAAATTCACATTCCTATTTATTCCTTAATAGTATAGATTTAGTTTGAAAAAAGAGAAACTAATCTTAATTGTCAACTGACAATTAAGATAGTTTAAAAAATTACTTAAACTATCAACTAAATATTAAAAAATTAGTCCTAGTTTCTAATATATTAATATTCAAATTATTCTATGAAGTGAAATCATATGCTGAAGATGGTCTTGAAAAGGCTGGAAATATCCTGAAATTTTTTAAAGTATCAACTGAACATTAAGATTACTTTCTTTTCTTTTTGGATTCCTTCAGTTTTGATTGAATCGGATTTATTTTATGCCAATTTTGTTTGCACCATCTCCTCCAAGAACACATCACCGGTGTAAAATGAGGGCAGCCTGTAGTTCAAACTGTATAACCATGAACATACATAATTTGTAATAAATCTATGAGAAATCAGAATTTGATTTACAGTGACTCACTTAACAATGATTTTCAAAAAAATTAAGTTATAAAAACAGGACTAGCTGTATTGAAAATGTTATTGTTTTTCATTCTACTAAATTTGGATAGATATATTAGCATAAATAACTTACAGTTTTGAAAACAGTAATTTATTAAGGTGACTTTAATGCTTAATTTGTAGCATCAGTCATCTCAGCAGCATACTAATCTTAAGTTACTATCAATTCCAAACCAAATAAGTGGTGTTAATTGTGTAATATTAATGCTAGATATGATTCAAGATTATTTTTATTATAGTTCACGTATAAATGTAATTTTTTTTCCTATGTCTAAAAGTAATAAATGAAGTGTAAACTAAAAATATTTAATATGCATAATTAATTACAAAATATATACATAAATTTAAAAAATTATAGATTAAGTAACGACAAAGTATATAATATTGAGAATATCACAGCACGAATTTTAGAAAGAATATATCCCTGAAAATATTTAAATTATCATAAAATGGTCATTTTAATGAGAGTGTTAAAATATAAAAATCTCATTTTATTTTGAGATTTAAAAAAAAAAACATAATTAATAAAGTTAATTTTATATTTAGACTCTTCCTCACAAGCTGAACCTCTTCCTGGTCCAGTACAGCTAACAACAGTTAGGTCTCCAGAAGAAGTTACGGGAGTGAAATCGCCAGATCCAGAATCTTGGACTGTACCGATAGAAACAGGTAAAGGGTTAGAATGGACTGATGGACAAACTCCAGGTATTGTTCTTATTTCATCCAAAGAAAGTACACACCTATCCACAATCATAATCCTGGCATATGACAATTTCACTGATTTATGGTTTAAAACAACTTTTAACAACCCCAAAATTTTACATTATATATATATATATATATATAGAAAAATAATAGTTAAAAAAAAAATGCTTATAAATTTTCTAAAATTAAAATTGCTTTAAGTTTTCAAAATTTTTCATTCAGAATTTTATGTAAAGATACAGTACTTCATTAATCAGGAAATATATTTTTATGTGGCTTAAAGAGCTCTAAATTTTTTTTTCTTATTCTATCATTTTATCATTTTTCATCATATAATTTTAAATTCTACAAAGTAGCTATTTATTAATATGCTCAAATGACCAAACAATTATTATAAAAAGATTTTTGGACTTTCTTAAACTGCTTCGTAATATGAGATATTGTTTAAGATAACAGCTTATTTACAATTATAAAAATGATGATAACTGTATCATAGTTTATGATTTATAAAAAATGATATAATTAGAGCATTAAAAATAAAATGCTCCAAATTTATTTCCAAAGTGCATTAATGTAATGTAATGTTAAATGCTATAGTTTCCAAACTGTTAAGCATTTCAACATTTTGAAATTGTTTCTTGTAGTTAATTTAAAACATTTTTAATTATGAAAATATATACAATTTTACTCTTCAATTTTCATAATGTTGTAACTATGTAAAAAATTTTTAATATTTATTTGATCACTTATATCACTTTTTTGCTGAAAGTTGTGTAACTTTTTTTAATCCTTATAGTCATTGTTTTTAACATTAAAATTGCAAGTAAAACTGAAGAAGTATTAATTTAACAATATATTAACATTTTTGAAACTTTTAAAATTTTCATAACCTGTATGAACAAGTGTTCAATACATCATTTGAATCTTTGTTTGAACAGTTTCTCAAAATGTCTTTAGAAGGGTTGTGTAGACAATGCATATGTAGTCTTTCCCAAAATAAGAATAGAGCTGATGTGTTAAATCTTAAATATGTATCATTCCACTGCCATTATTAAGCAATAAATGAAGTGAGTCGTGTTGAACCCTGTAATTTGAACCTTAATATAATCCCTGTTTACATGACTTATAAATTTCAATTATTTCTAATAATCATAAGTCTGTGATATCACATACTAGAGAGATAATTTTAGCCTTTTCCCACTGCAGTTTTATCCCACGTTCATTGCAAATACTTCTAGTGCTGTTGAATGTAAACCCTTTTCCTACTAAGTAAACATGCCTTTTAATTGTACTGTTTACATTATTGGATGTTGCTTCAACATATTTCATGTCAATCCCCCATATCCTGTCTTCTAATATAGCATAATATAAGCACCAGGCTTCTATGTAGAGGTCACATGGTCCTTATCATTACATAGCAGTTGAAACACCAGATTCAGATTCAGATTCTTTTAATGAAACATACAAAAAATTAGTACATACTTGGCGCCATTTGCACACAGCCAAGTGAATTCAGAAACAAAGAAAGTGAGTACAGTGAATAAATGTAATTGAAATATTATATAGAAAAAAAATAAATAAAATTAAGATTAACAAATAAGAAATGATAAAACATTTACAAATTACAAGAATAATATAAAACAATACACACAAAACAAAAACGTTGCGACATTGTGGTAGCCCACCTAAAGATGCACTATGCAACAGAGAGGTTCTGAGAAGCCTCAAAAAGTTTTTGTCTTTGAATTCTGTCGTTTCTTTTCTACATCTTTTATGTTCTTTCAAATCCTTTCATGTTATTTCTTACTTTCAAGTTGTCACTTTTTCTTATCAGTTCCCCCCCTTTTTTTGTCCTACTTCTATTCCTTGTTTTCATTCTTCACTTCACTTCACAATTTAAGCGTATCGTGGACCTACAAAAGTCAGGTCATAATTTTTAATTTTCTAGTAAGTCAAGTGGACCTGCTACCACATAGATAACATGCACAAAAATAAGAATGAGGCCAATGAGAAAGTTCCTCAAGATTCTATTGTTAAGAGTTGAATTGGCACCAGTTGCGCCAATGCTGCAAAAACACAGTTGAGATTTCAAGGTATTCCACTAAGGGTTCCACAAACTTACACAAACATTTGTTTGTTTAAGCCAGTCTGTTAATGCAGTAGGATGAATCCTATATCCTAAGGTGGCATCTCAGCAAACCCTGAAAACACAAAATGCAAAAAAAGGATATAATGCAGTGAAGAGAAATCACTGATGATCGAGCGGTGTCTCGAAATTGTGCTTGGTGCAATTCCAGCTGAAATCCATGGAAATCCATTTATAACAAATATTGCTCATCATCATTTAAGCTATTCTGCTGTGTATACCAATTAGCTGCGTGTTATATCCAGCCAACCTTGGGTTTCCTTGTTCTCTTCTTTTTTTTATCTTGCTGAGAATTAGCCTCAATGCTCTTATCAGGTCTTCCACCATAGTCTTAACCATGCTGGGCTGTCACCTTTCTTCATAATTTAGCTCTCTATTCATGTAGACTGGCTGTAATATGTGTCTACTCATCTTATTATTGTCCTGAAAGCCAATTTCTTGAATTGAACAGGTCATGGGATACTATTGGAATGTAAAATAGCAAGCTTTCTGTAAACCTTGGTTCCCACTAATTTTATGTAATGTACTTTTCAATATATTTGTAATGTTATATTTAAGATTCTGGAATGAAACATTCCAGAATCTTAAATATAACATTACAAAAGCTCATTGTTTCATTTGCTTGTTAAGTTTAAATATATGGAATATGTGTTCTAATTTTTAATTTGTTTTACATAATTAAATATATGACTGCCTGAGAATAGGCATTAAATACATCTTAAATGGTAGCATCCAAAGTTAGTAAATTGATAGAGAAATAAGAAGTAAAATTGTTTACTTTAACAGAATCTTTATGAGATGACATTCCTGATATTACATTCATGCTGACTAATGTCAATGCAGTTCTAGACTTGACATAATTGACAAAACTGAAGCTACTTGAACAAATAATCCATACTACCATTCAAGCCATTTTACAACTAACGACACAAATACTAATGTGATACCAAAATGCCCTAGTTAAACTTTAAATTATAATAAAATTTTATTACTTCAAAACAAGAAAACATTCCAAATTATTTCACATGTTAAAAGTTTGAAAGAAATGTTAGTACTAAATACTTTCTAGTACAGACAATATAAAACATCTGTTTAAATCACTTCTTTATCACAAATGGTGCATAAATAATTACATAATGTTTTAATATGCAAGGAAGACCAAAATCATTTTGACAAAGAATTTTCAATCCTTAAACTTGCTTCCAAAACAAAATAAATATGAAATATATAAGTAATAGTAAGAAGAACAAATTTTAAAAGTTTAAAATAATAAAATATCCTNTTTAAATTATAATAAAATTTATACATTACATAACAAAATGTACAGAATTAACAAGAAAACAGATAGAAACAACCCAATATAGTTTAGGAATGGAATTTTGGAAATTGTGATAATTTCAAATTCTATTAAACTCCATTAGAAATCCTATTGTCAGTAAATAAAAATATGATTTATGTCTTAAGCTTTATTATTTGTTTTTACTTGAGCATAAAATTATTTTAAAAGCACTGTGTCTAAAGAAAATATGATGATGAAATTTCTGTATAAATGGATTCATGTCAAGATCGAATGTAAGCTTAATGATGCTAATAATAATCATATTTAATAGCAATTTAGGATGTGTTTATATGACAAGCAAGCCAATGACAGTATATTTTGTATGAAATATACTATATCATTGGCTTGCTTGCTTAGTTACTTCCACCTAGATGCACTTTTAGTATAAGCATCAGCTGACAAATTGTACAGAGGGTCTATAATAAAATTTTACATTCTTTTATATCCACAGCAGTACATTCTTGCAAGATTTCTAGAAATATTCTTATGCTTTCTATAATTTTGGAATTTTCCAATTAATGCCAAGATTCCTACAAGAATTATTAGCTAATGCAATTATTTTGTACTTCAAGAATTTCATAAAACTATTTCTTGCAGTAATTCAACATATATTTTTAAATTACAATTAATTTTATGTTTAAATTTTTCTGACAATGATTGTTCTTCATATATTTTAATCAACTTAAAAAAAATTTTTTAACTTATTTTAATGAAAACCTTGGAGTGATGTCCAGTTTTTATTAAAAATATCCTAATATTTTATCCATTAAATGTAATAATTATACTTGTAAAATATCTTAATTTTTTTATTGAAAGATATTCAATTGCATATTTTTTTCGTCGGATATTTTTTAAAAAATTAATTTCCTTTAATTAAATGAATTATTGTTTGATGTAATATCAAAACTCTTTTTAAAAACTTGATTGAAATTAATTTTCACACTTTGTAAATCTTTTTTACAGTAAAATTGTCATAAAATTCAATATTATAATTTTTTTTCCTTCTTTTTATTCCCCTTTTTGCCACTTAAAAAACCAAAAACAAGTGATAAATTTTTCATTATTTTCATTTACTTTTTGCACAGAATGTTATTTAAAATATAAGTTATTTATATTTCCTTAATTTAAATATAATTTTTGCATTTTATTTTTTAAGTTTAAGCTGACAAATAATATTGAAAGTATATATCTTAATATTTAAATTCTGTCATTTGTATTTTATACATTTTCTTTTTAATGATTTAGAAATTGTCTGCTTAAAATACCATGAAATTTAACTTGTTGTTATTTATAATTAATTTTTAACTAATGCAATTATGTGATAATTTTAGGTGAAGAACCTGTTCGAGCAAAAAGTCCCCCACCAGTGATACCTAGTAAACCTGTAGAAATTATTCCATCTGCTGTAAATTCAGAACCAGTTATTACACAAGTGGAACCTGCCCCTAGTGAATCTGGTAGGAAATATCTTTTAAAATTTTGTTTATAAATATATAAATAAGATTACAAATAAGTAAAAATAAGACATTCCACAACTACCTTTTTATAATGTAAACATATCTGCATTATGTGTTCTTCTTTATTTGTTAAGTGAAACAAATTTTTTGTGTGAAACAAATTTGTTAAGTGAAACAAATTTTTAAGTGAAATTGTAAAATTTACGTTAGTGGAATGAATTATTTCATTTTTAAATGATCATCTTGTAAATATCATCAGCCTTAATATAATTATTCACTGTATGATACAGACATCTCTGGTGCTTCCTTCTTTTGTCAATCTTATCTCATTTCTTTTGAGGTCATCTTGCTGTCTTTCTGTTCCTCTCTCTCTCCATTCTCTGGACATTCATCTCATTGCTCTTCTTGTCCATTGGTTATGCTACATTCTTCCAGTATGTTCTGCTAATCACATTGTTCTCTTGTATCTTTTATTTATATCTTCCTTTTTAAACCATATATACTGTACTGTACATATGAAAGAAAGGTCTGAAAGTTTCCAGCTTAAACAAGTTATAAAAACATTCAAGAAAATCAAACAATATTACTTATTTTTCAATTTATTCTCCCTTCATTACAATATATGTTATGCATTTTTGAAAAAAGTCTTCTCAGTTTAGCAGCAATAGTATTTCTTATCTTTAGACTGAAAATATCATAAAACAGCAGAATTCATTATTGGAAATGTTTTTCCTCTTAAGTCAGATTTCTATGTTGAAAACAGATAATAACTGAGACTAGGTCTGGTTTGTAGAAAGAATGGCTAATTTCTGTGAAGAAATCACATTCAAGAACTATCTCCTTTACAATTGTAGCTATTATGGATGAGCCCTGACTCAGTTTTTTCATCTTTTTTCTTTGGCAACATTTTACAGTTTCTGTAACCAAGAAGCATAACATTCACGATTTATGATTCTGTTTCTCTCTTTAAAATAATTTATCTGGTTATCCTCACAATCCCAACAAACAATAGTTATTAAGTTTATGTTAGTAGTGAAACTTTTGCTTTTCTAGGAGAGTTACATTCACATGAAGCCACTCTACTGATTCTCTTTTAGATAAAGACCATAATACATAGCATAGTCACATTTCCAGTTACAGTAGATGATTAAACATCGTTTTTTTCTGAATCAGCATGTTTTGATGAATTTGCTCATATATAACTTTGTGAATCCAGTGAAATTTTTGAAGTACAACTATATGAAGTGAAGCTTTGAACTTTCTCTGTTATATATTTTATTAAATGTTTTGTTTTGATTTTTCTATAGCAAGTTACAAATTTTGTGTATTATGTATTTATGAATTAGTTTTAGTTGTTTTAATTATATGCATTGATTCTTATATTTTAAGTATTTTCTAAAAATTTGATAGAAATGAACTAATATTAATTGAAATTCAATCCAATCAATCTTTATTTGATATAACAAGTGTTATTACAAAGGGGGTTAAAAAACGTTGTTATTTTAAGTTTGATACATGAACAAAGAAATTATATAATTTATACAAAGTTAGCATGGCAAAACTATCACTGAATAAAATTTGGTAACAAAAATCAGATGGCAGTGTAGCAACTCGTACATCCAAAATAATATTGCAAGATTCAAGGTGTTTTCTCATATCCACCGTAGTCGTTCCACAAAAAGAACATTCGGAGTCATATAAGACATTAATTATTTTACCATTTAGGTTTATCAAAAACCTATTTAGTCTAAATTGTGCAGTAAATGACTTTATTTTATAACTCAAATTAGACAATAAATAAGGCACTGGACTCCACATTCCATTAAGAAAAATTTCACTGTTTCAACCTCTTTCACTCAAATGATGAACATCTTTTAGCCAATATAAGTCTCTTAGTCATTGATCACAATCCAAAAAGAACAAAGTTTCAATTAAATACATATAACTAGAGGACAATCGAATATTATTTAGTAATCCTTTAGCAATAGTAGACCATGGCTTCAAAAAAGAATTACCATATATCTGTGAAAGTTTTGTATATATCAACTTTCAATAGTCATCATTCAGTAGATCAATAAGTTTCCTCCAAAATCTAAACAATTTTATCAACAGTCCAATAGCAAGAGGAGGTCTTCCCAATTCCATTCTCACTGCAGATCCTTAGACAGATCTATTAATATGGAACACCTGCTTAAAATAGAATAGCTGTATTAGTTCAAATTTGTCTACTAAAAGACTGCCACAAACCAGAAAAGCATAAAAGAATCAATCAAAGAATCAAATAATTTAAAATAATTATTTAATGAAGATGCTTTAATTTTAATAAGTTACTTGATGAGATTGGAGATTTTAGATCTTGCAGAAAGTAAACCTTTATTTAAAAGATAGGAGAATGTGCCATGTGAAGAAAAATAAATACCTAGATATTTAAAATTTGACACAATTTCCAGTTTATGATTTTCTAAATTGAAATTATCTGTTTTTTTAAGTTTTCCACCTCACGAAAAAATCATAAGCTTTGTCTTTTCCGAATTAATTATCAATTGATTGTCACAGTATCGCCAAGTAAGATTAAGTTTTTCTCTAAGCAAAGAAGCTGAATTAGCCAAGAGAAGAATATCATCAGCATAAAGAAGACTGTTAATTTTGACATGAGAAGACGATGCTATCATAGAACTTTGACCTCTCAGAAGGTTAGGAAGATCATTCAAAAACAAAATAAAAAGGATAGGACTCAGTGATTCTCCTTGAGGTAACCCTCTATTGGACTCAATATAATTAGTACAAAATGAAAAAGTTTCTATAAGATATCTAGTATTATAAAACAGACTCTTAAGTAAGTTGACAAACAACACAGAAAGACCAATGCTCCTAAGCTTATATTATAACAAATCATAATTGACTGTATCGAAAGCTTTCTTGAGATCAATAAGTATATCAATCAAGCAGTATATAGTTTCCTTTGTTTCCTCGAAAGCAATATTTGAATAAGACCAGTCAAAATAAACAAATTGTATTCAATGCCTCTATTTTTAACAAATGCTCCTTGGAGAGGTGTAACAATATTAAACTCATTCATCCAATTCCAGAGACGATTTGCCATAATAGTTGAAAAAACCTTTCTAAATACACTGATTAAAGCAATAGGTCTATAATTAGTTGATGTCTGCCTACATCCCCTCATAAATCATTCTTAAAGCAATTTGTTTCCAAGATAAAGAGCAGCTAGACGAAAAGGAGTTAAACATATTCAATATATCTAGTAATATTTCTTTAGAAAGGTATTTTATCATTTCGTTCCTTATATTATCAAGACCTGGGGCCTTAGATGGTTTTAATTTTCTGATTACAGTTTCCAATTCACTCAGTGATAAGATCTTCCAAAAGAGGAAGATTATTACCAAAACTTAAATCAGTATAAATTACTGTATTTGGTTCCAGCGAAATACTCTTGCAAATAATTCACCAATCCGAGGGAGATATAGCATTTTCACACAGTTTCTTAATTCAAAATTTATTAACTAGTGACCAAAAATCACTAGTATTTTTTGTCTTCAATAATGAGTTTATTTAACTAAAAATAACTTTTCTTCGCCTTACTTAGCAACTTGTAACTTTTATTTAATTTACAGCATTTGTCCAATAGATTTCTAGTTTTGTTTCTACAAAACATTTGTAGTACTCAGTTCTTTGTTTTCTTTAAGCGTAGACACTGAGGATCAAACCATTGCTTCTCAAATGATAATAAAATAAATATTTTTCTTAACCATTCCACATCGTAATGCTGAATTCAACAAAGTCTTCAATAGTTCATCATAGTAACTCTGCACATCCAACAGAAAGGTATATAGCAAGTTTATCAAAGATAAATAGTCATCCTATCTTTCTTGTTTCCATATGTAGCGAATTTTTGGAAGTTTCAGAGTCAATACACTATCCATCATAAATTTGAATAAAATGGCAAAACTGTATTTGGGACAAGACTATGTCTTGGAGACTCACTACTAAGCGGAATCACTTTGACGCTGAAGGCAGGTCTCATTCTCATTTTCCAATCTTTTTTGGTATTGCTGCTTTTGGGCGCAATCGTTCAAACTTTGCCGGCCACGACCATCAGATCATCTACCATGCATTTTTGATGAAATTAACCTATCCAATTTCGAAATTCTCTCCATTGCATGTCAGCCCGGGTTGAATTTTTGTCGATATGTAATGAAAATTTCCCGTTTTTGAAAAAAAATAATCATGGTTATTGTATCGTCTGAAATTACTTTTTTATTTTGCATAAACAATATACAATTTAACCCGATTATAACATCATCGGATATAACAACAACCCTAATATAACGTCAAATTTTTATTGGTCCCACGATTTTAGTATACTAGATAATGTTAAAAAACCTACTTGTAACGACACCCTGTTTTAATGTCATATTTGAAGCACTCCCAAATTTACAAAAATAAGATTACAAATTTTATTTAACGTAGAAGAAACTACATGTTCAGTCCTAAGGTCAGAGTTCACTTCTTAAAATGGGTTGTACTCTCCTCCACCTGACTTCGGTGGGGTGATATGCCTGTTTTGCCTGTTTGTAGAAGAGGGTCGCTATTTTGTATTTTATTTTGACTCGGTTCTCGGTCCCCTGACTACCTACAAGTCTGGATTTTTTATGCGCAAATGATTTGGGCACTTAATACTCTGTGCCAAATATCAACTCTCGACATGTACTCCTTCATACTCTATGCTGGTAACATAAAATGGCAGTACAATTTTATAAACAAGACAGTCTTTTCGATGATATTGAAATTGGAAAATGATCAGAATTGAAATATCAAAAACTCTAAAATCCAGTAATCTGTCCAATAAATTTACATTTACTGTTATTAGATCTATAACGGATAGACCAACTGTGGGAAGAAAAGTAAATTTAGCTGGGTAGTCTGATGACCATTTAAAATATACAATCCATACGACTTAATCAATTGTAAAAAACTTTTTCCTCTTCCATTTAATATTAAATCATTAGATCTTTGAGAATTTAAAACATTAGTATTACTCCCAGCATAAAAATTATCTAGTTCCTCGCCTATTCTAGCATTCATATCTCCCAAAATAACTATATCATCCTCATAGAAATTAATCAACAAGTCTTCCATTTTTTTTAACAGTACATCATAAAGATCTATTCTTAAATAATCAAGAACAATTATCAAACTATGACTAGGTGAACAAAAATTTTTCTTATAATTAAATCTAATCACCATTAGATTGTCAGAGTTAAACAACATTTCCAAAGAACCTAATTTTTGGGAAACTGCAAGAATGAGACCGTCATATGGACAACCAGGACCAATTGGTTTTCTAGCAAATTGTTCATATAAAAACAAATCTGGGTTCAACAAAGAAAGTACCGGTTTATAAGAATTAGTTGATCAAGTCTCAGTAAAAGCAACTAAATTATAATTTTACAATAAATATGTAAACTCTTGGTCATTCACTGTTCCTTGACAATTCCAAGACAATATTCTCATTACTAAAGCTTTATTTCTCTCTTTAGTAATTGTTCCACTTAACCCTTTTGGCTGAATTTGTCTAAAAAAGTATCAATCTTCTGTAATCTATTAGTTTCTAAATTGAAAGTGAATTTGTCACCACCAATTGTCAGGCAACTCTTTTTTATTCAAAGATTTAGCTTCCGTAAAAAAAGGCAACAATTTTCTATGCCTTAGTCTTGGTCTATATGACAAATCACCAAAGACTCTAATGCACGAGTAGGACGACAACGCCTTAATTTTCTTTAAATTTTTAAAAATAACTCTTTCGTCATCTTGAGTATAAAGCTCAAACAACATAAACAGAGTTCCCAATATACAATAACTATTAATAAATGGATTAGACTCCCCGTTTTGTCTTTTAAATAATTCAATAAAGCCATTATCATTATTAACTAATTCTTCGTCATTACCACTCAAATCAGAAATGATAATGTTATTTTTCTTCAAATCGTTGTGTACAGAGTCTAAATAATAATTCTGAAGAGAAAATTTATTAAATTAATTGAAATTTATTGTCACTTAATGCGTACAGAGTATGAAAAATTTTTAAGAAAAGAAGTTGATAATGCAGCTTACAATAAATTGCATTTTGGAATCAAATCAGATATAAATTGGATTCTATCCCTGCAAGCACCATACCCAGGAATTTTTTATTCTTATAGATAATAAGACAATACACTTGAGTAAATCAATTTTATATTTTAATTTTTGCTCTATTGTACGACTGAAGAGCTTTCAGACATGCAAAATCTATCCAATATACAAATATATAAATAATATTGTAAGACAAAGACAACCAGATGTTTTCTTGTATAATTTTAAGCTTACAAAACTTTTTTATGATATCATTTGAGAGATAGATTGACATGAGAAAAATATGTTAAATGTAACAGTTATTATGTTATAATATCTGACCAAATAAACAGCCAGATTCACTTCAGACTATGTTAAGTCTAATTAATTAACACATAATTAAACTATTTGACTAGACAAAAGCAGTTAAGCTGCTATATCATGTTCAAACCTGCAACTTATGCTTTTTGCACAGATTTGTTGGCAATTACACTATCCATATGATATTCTAAATTAAATTCAATACAAGGTAGCAACTTAACTAACTAGGCTGTAGCCAAATCGTTTAATAATGTGTTAATTAATTAGTCTAAATATTGCCTAATGTGAATTCAGTTGTTTGTTTGGTTAATAAAGTGTATCAGATTGTTTGTATACATTATAATTTCTGACTTTAAATTTATTTAGTCAGAGTTTTTGGAGTGCAATTTGAAAAACATTGTAGATCTATAAATTTCCACTGTTGTCTGTCTGTCCTTTAATCTCAAGAACAGAATTAGATAGATGAAATCTGAGACTAACTATAGAAAACTTAGGGGCAGGAAGCCCCAATTAACTATATAAGAATTTCTGATGCAAACCAGAAGTCATGTTATTTCAATTGAAAACTTCCCCTGAAAGGTGTTAGATAGATGACTAGCACAACTGTATTGTTAAAGAGAAAATATGAAAATACATTCAAGTCCACATAAGTCATCATAGGTATAACTAGACACTGTCAGTTTTCTGTGATCCCAGCCGACTTACATAAGCATTAATGTTAAAAATCTCCAGTTTACTCTACACTGTTTAACTTGCCACTACTGGATACTTTGGGCATACTTAAATTAAATTGGCATACTTTTTCTGTCCCACACTCATTTAGACATCTGATAAGTCAACTCCCCTCCTGAAAAAAATGAGTTCACACCACACAGCTTAATGTCACAGCAGAATCCAATTTTACATTTTCTCACTGTTCATTCATGCGTTATTTGCAGTAAGTGTTTCACATTTCTCTTAGAAATGAGTATCCAAAACCTAACAACGCTTATGCTAAAAGAAAAATACAAACTTGTATCTGAATTTGAATGCAATAAAACTTTGCAAGCCAAATTTGCCAAACAAGAAAACCTTCCAAGAACAACATTGGTGGGAATTCTAAAGAAGAAAGAGGAAATTAAGAAACTTTTTCTTGGGTCTTCATCGCGGCTATCTCGAAAATGCCAGAGAAGGTCGTTGTACAAAGATGTCAAAGATGCTCTGGTACGTTGACTAAAGCAAATTTGTTTATTGAATCTTCCTGTTTCAGGACCAGTACTGAAAGAAAAAGCGATGGAAATCGCTGAGGTACTTGGAGTAGAAACCAACATTAGTGCCAGTGATGGATGGTCAGAGCGATACATTGCATGTACTGTATAAAGCACTACTGTATTTTCCTAATTGTAGTTTTGTGATTTTTTTCAATTTTGTTTTAGTCATCATATCGGATAACTCGACACATTTCCACTTTCCCTTGGGGTGTCAACTTATGCATATTCGACTGTAATTGCTCATTCACAAAATGGGGTTATTCTCCATGATCTATTTATTACAAAAACAAGTTCATTAAAATTAAATTGTAATGCACTATCCTACTTAATAGGCAGTATGCATACCATGAAACATTGACATTGTATGGTAAACATTGAAATAAAATATTTATTTTGTCTTTAATTGCTATTTATTTGCACCAGTTAAGAGGCTCTTAAATGTTAGCATTATCAAAAAATTTTTTATGATAATAAGTATAGAAAAATGTGCTCATCTCTCTATGAGTCAACTTCCCAATAGGCATTTAATGTTCTGCATGGTAAGTATCAATCAGTAAGAATTCATTAACGGTTATGCAATAAGGGGTCTATGTTCAAATCTGATTTTTAAAAAAATCCAAGTAAATTATCTTGCAGTGATTTGTGATCAGTTTGCATATAACTAAATTCTATGTTAATATTTTTTGATATTATTATTTTACTAATTTATTTTATTAACTTATATATATGACTTACTAAACATAATAACAGTCTGAAACATTTCATTATAGCACCTAAAGTTCCACCAAGCACGGAAGTGCCGAATGTAGAGATGGTTTCACCTTCGGCCGGAAGAATGTTAGCTTCGGATGTTCTGGACCGTGCAAGAAGTAGGTTAGATCAATTTTGGAGTAAAAACAAATAACATACAACTTTTACATATTGAATAGAACGTTCTAACAAAAAAAAATTATTGTATGTTATCTATTAATTAAAAGATGATGAGATATGATGACAACGGTCACATTTTAATCAGGAAAAATTTATGAACAAAAAAAAATATACAGAAAGTAGGGGAAAATAAGTGTTTTTTAATATAATGTATGTTGTGTAAATATTTTGATTTATTTCCTGTTTTGTACTTGGAATTAATTTTTTATATTATTTAATTTTTTCTTGTTGACAAAAATATTTTATAAAATTTTGACATGGTTTACGCTTAAATATATTGTAACGAAAATCGATTGCGATTTCTGGAAATACACTATAATCTTATATCAGTCACATAAATATATTTATTTTAAAATACGCCTCGTCGTAACTGGTAGTTAGTAAGATGCGTACATTCATCTTACTATCTATCAGTTGATGACGAATGATGACAGCATTTATTTTCATTTTATAGCTCTATTTTTCATATATTCTCTTAATATCAAGATTAAATATGGTGAAAATTATTTTCCATAAACATATAAAAATGTATGTTTTGTACTTGTACATTCCGAAAATAATTTCTCATTTAAAACTGCCAAATGTGTATTCAATGTAAGGACGAGTGGTAAAATAAAAGTTAAATTAATTAAATTTAACTTAACAATTTATTTATATATTTAAAATAAAAGATGATATAAAAATTCAAAATGCAAATTTGTCTAAATAAATGTAAAATATAAATGATTTTATTCACAAATCTTTATTTTTCTTTCTAATATTTCACAGTCAAAATCATCGTTATCAAATTTAAACAATTTCTTCTCAATTACAAAATGAGTCTTGCTTATTAATCAATTTTTAAAATTTTGCCAGATTTCTTATATATTTATATTAAATCATAGTCACAGTGGTGGATTTATAGCATTGGGCCCTTCTCACTGCCCAATAGTGAGGACCTTTTTTGTAGGGGAAAAAAAAATAATCTTGAACTATATTGTTTTTTAAAAATATTAATGTGTTTTAAATCTACTGAAAACTGACACTAAAATTAGCATACCTCTTTAACTTACTTTTTAATACTGAATACAATAAAATTAGAAGTAAATGATCATTATTTAAACCATTTTCTTAAAAATGTAAGAATGAACTCAGCTGTTTCGATGCGTCCCAGATTCAAAGGGCCCTTTTTTTACTTGTAAACTGCACGAACCAATAAATCCACCACCGATTAGGTACTCTACCAGAAAACAGCAAAATATCAAAGAAAATATTTCACAAATAAACAGTATTCTACATTTCTGCACTGAGAAACAAAACAATTAAGCATCTTTACATAGTTTAATTAACAAGTATTTCCTTCTACTTATGCTATTTTTCACTAACTTTGTGCTATATTTATCTATAGAAGAATTTTTTTGGAATATTTAAACATATATTTTATAAACTAATCCAAACGGAAACATTTTTTACAAAATTAGATCTATGCTTCGTTGATCTGTGATAGCTTTTTCTCGATTAACTTTAATAGAATGATTCAGAAAGTGAACATGATCCGTATGAATCAGTACTGTGATAACTTTATTCTGAATTATTTTCCATTCTTTGTTAAATATGTATAATACATTCAAATTGAAAGATAACAATACAGCAATCACATAAAACATTAATAAGATTAGTATGTGAAATATGATGAAGATTTTTACAAAGATTTATTAAATCATCTTATGAAAATAAGTGACAGATGTAAAAAAATATATCTGAAAATTAAAAATGTTTGCATTTGTATCAGTTTCTGTTATAAAATTTTATAACTTCCTCTTCCCTTCAGCAAATATTTACTCTTTTCCATTCTGTCTAAGTCTTTATTTAATAATTAAAGCTTTTTTATTAAGTGCAAGAGATTTTATAATTAAAAAAAAATAAGTTATTTTTAATTTAATAAATTTATTTCATGAAATGTAATCAAAATGCTTAATAATAATTTGTTTCTCATCTGATATAGTTAACTAGACTTATCGTACAGGAAACTGTTTGCTGTAAGATAGGTCCTATAGAGATCTTGCATAGGCTTGGGAGTAGAACAGACCCTTTTGCCTCTGCCCTTTAACAGCCTTTTGTTTTTAAACAAATGCAATACATAGGTTGTTTCTTTATTAATAAAAAGAAGTCTTAATGTAGTAAAAATAACATTAATTCTGTAAGGATAGGAACTAATACTGGCTCCTAAGCTTTCTCTAATTGCAGGGAAGAATCCTTAGCTCATTTTTTCAATGGCCCCAAAGGTAATGTTCTATGATCACCAGGAATCCAGCATTGAATCCAATCTGTATTCACAATCTTTCAGAACAGAATTGTCATTCCTATCCCTCACTTATACTGATTGATGCCATTGTTAATCTGGCATTCATAATTTTAATTGCATAAATGTAATATTTTTCAAAATATAGTTAAAATAAAATAAAAATATATTTACTGTATTAGTTTTTACAATTTTTTTTCAGAATGTAAAGATGTAAAATATGTTTTAGTGTTGCTGCTATGATGTCATGATGTATATAAATCCTTTGAAAAATTATATTTATATTTTTAAATTAAATTTCTTTGTATTTATATAGTTTATGATAAGTATAATATTATTTATTTATTTTATTATTATTATTTTTTTGTTTTGAAAATCAAAGTTTTAAGGCAAAGATGCATTTTGAATGACTCTTAAATGATTAATTGTTAAATATATATTTTTTTGGTACCTGTCAAATATGCAAATTATACTTTTCTTATTGTACAGTTCCTATTTGAGAAGTTTGAAACCAAACATTTAAAAAATAAAAAAAAGCATTGTTTTCAATGAAAGGACTGAAAGTATATGATTTATAATGTATTTTAAGAAATCCAATAAAATTTCTCTGTTAGTATATATTTGTTCTTCTGAAATATCACTTGTGTGAAAAATTTTGTGATAACTTTATATAAATTCAAATAAAAAAAAGAAGAAAAGAATACCTTTGCCAAGTATCATGATGATTCTTTCTTCATTTATCCTTTACATTGTTCAAACTTTAATGAAATGCAACTACATATAAGTACAGTACAGTATATGGATATAAAAAACAATATGGCGCAGTAAGCTAAAAAAAAAAATACGGTTTACTAAGTTATTTATAAATTAAAACCGTTAAAAATATCATTTTAACGTAAAAAAACACATTAGAAATTAGCGTTTGAAGCCGGTTCATATAATTACTTTGGTATTTATAAAGTTTGTAACGCCGCCATTTTGTTACGAAAGAAACAAAATGGCGTTCGCGATGTAAAATTGACGTCAGAATTGAGGTAAAATGTCCAAACGATCGTGCTTAAAGTGTTACGTCAAAATTAATTTTAAATTATTGAAGAAAATGTCTCCGAGTGTGCCGAGAAAATCATAAAAATTACCGAAATGAAAAAAAAGAAAATATCCGAATTTTTTCTTTTTTTTTTGGAGAAATTTAGGGAAATATTAATAAAGTGTTAAAATAGGCCTACATCAAGAAAGCAAAATTAAATTTTATATTTTAATAAAACTTATTGAAATGGATTTTACCATCAGTAAATTAATAATAATAAATTTTATAAACGTTTATTTTCGTTACGAAATAGATTCCTCCTAACGGATTAAAAAAAAAATTTTTTAGGTTAGGGAAATTACGTCGTCGTCGCTTAGATATTTGAAAATTTTTCATTCCGTAGGGAAATGCAGAATTAAGTACTTAGTTTGATGACGTAAACGCCGGTCTCTAGGGAAAATGTTAGAGCAGTCAGACGAGAATTAAAGTTAAGCATCCTTCCTTTTCCATCGACTGTGACTATCTCGGGCCGCCACACCCGGAATGTAATCTGGGCGTCACGGCTTCCTCCCTCCCCCTCTCTAATTGGAACTTAATCTATTCGCAGCACCTGTCTAAGGCAAACTTTCCTTTTACATAATTCAATTTTCCATCGTCCAACCATTGATAACGTGCGGATTTTCTACTTTCCAGATACCCATGATGAAGTTTGATACCCAGATTTAGGGAAATTTTCGTCTTTCGTACTGTGATGCCAGTAAAATATTTCACAGTTTTGTTGTAATTAAAATGATTTTATTTATAATTTAACTGAGAAAATTAATTTAAAAATGTAAAAGAAGAAAATTCGTTCGAGGAAATTAAAGTTTGATTTTTATCTTTGCGTTAATATCACTTTGATCGAATTTTTACTTTTGAAAATTTGTAGGGAAATTTTTGTATATTTATTAATGGTGAAATATTAAAGAAAAATCGTTATTTTTTTATGTAAAAAAAATGCAAACATGGAGCTTAAATTTAAAAATAATTATGTAGGGAAGTTACATGATTTTTTTTTCTTTTTTCGTATTTGCAGGGAATATTTTTGAAAATTCCCTAATAAAATTTTTACTTGAATTTACCTCAAATTTCACTTAAACTTTTATCTGAATCTGAATTTGTTTATATTAATTCTTAAATGCTTTTAGAATGAAATCGTTTTTTTACCTAATACGTGATAAATTTTTCCCTAATTAGGGAAATTTCGTTTAAATTGAATAACAATTATAGTAAGAAGTTTTAAGCTGGAACATAAAAAAAATCCCATATGTACCAAAGTAAAAAATGTGGATAATTTACAATAGTTTTCACGTTTATATCAGTAATATTTCCCTAAGAATTACTAATGCTTTTATATGTTAAAAAAATAATAAAGGCTCACGAATTACCTAAGTAGAAAAGTGAAATATGGCGCCATCTACATGATAAATGTGGTGTTAACTACGTATAACACGCATTTTTTTTTCCTTTTTGAAGTTACATCCGAATAACTAAATTATCTTTAATTACAAAGCGGATATAACGATTTTTTCCCATGAATTTTTACACTTTATGAATTATTATCGAAGTAAAATCAAGAATAAAGCAGTCGCATCTTCAAATTAGACTCTCGTGACGTCCGTTGGCCACCTGCTACCTTCGAAACTCTACCTTTAATGACGATGGACTAATCCTCTTCATGGCCTTTTCGGACGCCGCAGGACACAGAAAATTCCTTTTATTAATCGCGGACGGGGATTTAAAAGTAGACAGAGGCAGGTGCTTGTTACAATCATTGACACCTCCGCTTCAACGCAGTCTAAAGCCGCATAACAATATTAATGACGTTTCAAATCCCCAAAAGTTCGTTTTTTTTCATTTATTTATCGTTGATTAAATTAATATTAAACGATATAATTAAATTTACATTGAGGATATTGTTTAATTTTTATTTTTTCTTCCAATTTTCGCAAAAATTTTCAAATTTGTCCGATAGATGGCAAGACGTTCTTCTCACTAAACATCTTTAAATTTTTAATTTTTTAAAAATATCTTTANACCTTAAACCAATAGAGTGGATGTAATTACTTTGCCATTGTGATGTTTAGCACCTGGTGTCATTTCGTCCAATGAATGCGTTATGTTGCGTTATACTCTTCGGATCAATGGACGAATTTTCGACCATCTGCCACTCGACACGAGCTTGACATGCCTGAAACATTAACGGCGTAATCGATACGTAATAGTGGAATTGATTATGACGTTTTTTAAAAATATTTAAAAACCGTTTTTTTAGAAAATTCTAGATAATATTTTCTAGAATTTTAATTTTTTTTTTTTTTTTAAGAAGAGCGGTAGAAACACGTAACGCTTGTCAATGAGTAAAAGATTCTGCTACCCGAACTAATGCTTTTAATTATAAAATTAAACGACGATGATAAGCTTTCTATCCCCAGAAACGATAACTAATTACTATAATTAACCTGAACAGAGATTAAAGTCTTGATTTCAGTAATTATTTCTGCAGAATTAGTGCAGATGTTTATCCAAACATCAATAAAAATTAATTATGTTCCGCGTATTAAAAAATTTTCTTAAATTATTTGAAATTCTTTAACTAGATTTCGGGATGTGGGTAATTTGTTAACGTTATTTTCGGGCGCTTGCTTTGAATTTTTAACATAAATCTCTAGTTTAAATTGTCTTAAAACAGATGAAAGGGGGCAGAATTTTCTTAAATTCCCATAAATAAATATAATATAATATAATATAATATAATTGCTTTTGGTATGATAGGAACGAATGATTGATTGATTGATTAACAATAGGCATCTACACAGCTATATAGCAAGTTGTAATTACGTCCATTATGGGAGGGCTTGACCCGCAATGGGGTCGATCACTATCAGCACAAGATAGGTTTTATGGCTGACCACAATTACGGCTTGATCTGACCTTTAATGGGATGGGTGAAGGCTCAACACGAGTGAAGGATGGGGATTAGCATGGGTGATGAATAGAAACAATGCCCCTGATAAATAATGAGGTTCAAAATAGCCTCCAACTCGAACCCCCACATCATTAGGCTGATACTTAACGAAAAATGTATAAAAACATAGAAAAATTAATACTTTTAATGCCTTAAAACAGTAAATTTTAAACTTTTAAGTGCCATTTTCTTATTAATTTTTTTAAAATTTACATAATTTATAAATTAAATTAACTAAACATTAAATAACTGTTTTAGAAGTCGTAAGTCAGTAGCCATTTTCGTCTGTCCGTCACGCGTTATAGAATGTTGTATCGCATAATGGATAGACGAGATTTTTCATATCGGTAATTTATAAGCAATTTTAACGCTTATTAATACTCTTTTCTAAATTAATTTATCAGCGATCGAATCAATTTTTTTAGATTTTATAAATACTAAAAATTCAATAAGCAAAATCTGGAACAAAGTTGAATTGATTTACGTCAATGATTCAATAACTGGGGCAACAACAACGTCACAAATGTTATAACTTCCAGATGATTTAGATTATAACTAGGACCAGGGACGAGAAAGCTTTTGACGTAATTAAATGTCGCGGTGATGGAAGCCGTGACGTAACACACACATACACAAGTCTTTATGATGGCCGTTCATAACGAATGGTTACTTTTCATGTTTAATTTTCTACATTTCTTCATAATCTAAGCAATTTACAGTTACAAAAATATTAATTTTAATTGTTATAATGTTGTTACATGTCTTAAATCTTAAATTTAACACCAGAATAATCAAGAAATTTGAAAGAAAATAACGATTTTAGCTACAGTTACAACAGTTCTCGACTTTAATGTAAGAATTTCAATGTACATTAATAAAAATACTAATTATAACACCACAGTAACAACATTAATTGCTAATTAATAAAAGAAAACTTTAATTAAATATCAATTTTAACAATGTTGCTACAGTATTGTGAATTAATTCTCAGCTTTATTAACGTCTCTCTTGAATTTTATGCATATAGAACTTATGATTTTGCTTCTAATATATTAATTACTAGGAAAAGTAGTTTATAAATCTATAAGCCTTAATAGTTTTTCTTGTATAGGCCTAAACATTACTTAGTAAGAGCTTAGTAACTCATTAAATTACAAGTATATGCAGTAGAAAACATACTAGTAGCATTTTATCCTGCTTAATGCTGCTATAGTAACAAAAAANAGATGTTAATTAACTTTTCAACGTTTTGATGTTAACTTTATAAGAGTACAATTATTTCCTACGAAGGTTTATTAAATTAATAAAACATTTAAGTCTAAAAACTTAATAAATTAATTAAACGTTTACTTATATTTCTATTAAAACATATCACAAAAGACTTGAAAATCGATAAAAATTCTACACTGTTTTTTCTCACCCTTAATGTCTAATTAATAATACATATTTTACTTAATTATGTGGTTATTTATAAATTGGAAAACTTTACAAAGCATGATTATTATTATTTTTTTAATTTAAAAACAAAAATTATTGATTATGTTAGTAGTTTCTAGTAGGTTATTTGTTTACACTCTCCCCTGCACCATTAATCAAGTAGGCTTTGAGATGACGTGTTATTCACGATCATGATAATCGTGAGTTGGGTATCCCTTAATAAAACCGCCCCTGACATCTTCATATAATTTGTAGCTCCAATTTTATCCTCCTTCTATATATTCTATGTAAGCAGCATCCTATCCAATTTAAAAAAACAAGCTTAAAAATTCATTTTTAATTTAAAACTACATAATTTCTAAGTGATTTGTCTGCAAAAATTGCTAATTAAGTTCAAATGTATGCCAAATATCTTGTAATTCGAACAGTAGACCACATCACAGCTGAGTTTCGTGTCCAAATTTAGATTCAGAAACTTAAAGTGGGCTTCTAAAATGTATTTTTTCTTAAATTTAGCCCTATTTTGGCTGATACAAAGACCCTTTGTATGCCTAATAAAAGGCTCTGTGTGTTTAATAAACAGCTTTATGTGGCTAATATATAGGGCCTTTGATTAAATACTAATTCACTTAACTACTTTCGAATACTAATTCACTTTACTACTTTTAAATTATTAGGTTTTATATAGCCTACAGGCTCAAATTTTAAAGCTTAACCTTTATAATATTATGATTAATCGACTAAGATTATGACAAAATATTCAAAAATATAGCCTGTAGGCTACACACAATCCATTAATTCGAATCATATTAACTTATATTACTAACAATTAATAGTTAACAAAGGTAAAGAAGCCTGCAGGCTTCTTGTTAATCTTATTTATTAATTATAACAAACTACGAGAATTTATGATTAAACATACCATAAATAAATGAAGGATTTGTGTAACATTAATAAAAGATACGGAGAAAATGTTAATTATAAAATCGTGTAACATAATTAACAAAGCATAATTGAGGCCCTATATCACACGTAACAGAATAAAGAAAGTTAATTAAATTGGCAACGGAATAAGACATCACAAACACTAGTCTAGAGATAAATGGAAGTCGGAAACGTTTGTATAAAAACACCTGCTGAGCTAGATAAAAAGGAAAACATTATTTTCGGCTGTTGTATAACCTTGTCAATATTTTTTTTCCCTATCAATTCACCGAACGAATTTAACATCCTATCAAATACTTAACTATAAATGATGCCGAACATTAACTCGAATTCCTGTTATAGCGTGATACACGTATAAACATTACTGAAATAATTGCATATTACGTTATACTCAACCTACATTTCTTTTATTATTTATAACCTTATACACGCTTAGAATACCGAAAAAAATCATTTAAAGTTATTCCTTTTAATAATTGAAAAGGTTACTTTTAAATTTACATGAAACGAATTTTTTTTATGCGTAAAACTTATTAATTGGAAGCGATTTTTTCGAATAAACTAATTAAAATCGACATTTAAATCGATTTTTTAAATCTTAAAACAGTTGTTTGAAATCGATTATTTGAAAATGATGATTTAACAATAGTTAATTGAAATCAATTTCAATAGAAAATTGAAACAGAACACTAAATTTCAAATTAACTGTTGAAACTGATGTTTTTATACAACAATCAATTGAAACTGATGTTTTTATACAACAATCGATTGAAACTGATGTTTTTATACAACAATCAATTGAAATTGAGACACGTGTTAGGTGTTTTTAAATGAAAAAGATCAAAAAATTAACTCGTTGTTGAGATTTTTAAAACTTATATTTAAGTTTTCTTGATATTAATGCATTTTTTTCTTCGATTTTTTAACGTTATAAAAGCAAATATAAAAGAAAATAATGTGAATACACTTTTAAATGTAAAATTACTAATAGTATTGAGTCGAGACTCTTATTATTTTATCGACTTTTTAATTATTTTAAACTTCTAAAATACATACATCTTCTGTAAAATTACAAAGGATAAAGAAGAATCTTCTTCTAACATCATAAATAAGCAGAGGTGGGATGGTTAGAGAACACTTTTTTTTAAAACAAGTTTCACGAGTGTTTATATACTATATACACAAGCTCCATACTTTAGATCGAACACACATTTACAACCAAGGTAAGGTGTTTTATTTGGGAGAACACGCCAATTCTCGGATAGCCGGATAAACGGAAGAATACAGGTTGGAAGTAAGAGCGGAAGGGTTGCTAATGTACGGATAATTGAAAGTCATAACACCAGGAACGGGAACAAACCTGGGAAGAGAAAAAGCCGAAAATCCAGGATTGGAGGCTGATGTCCAACAATGGAAATGGGTGGTCGGTGATTGGCCAAACAGGAACGATTGGGAGTGGTTTGCAGCCTCGGTCGATGAGTCAGTGTTTCCTGTGTCTGCGTGTCCAATCCTAGACAGTTTGTTCGCATTCACACCTGTGTATAGACAGTCGTAGTTAATGCCTTTCTAATACATTATCATAAAGTTAACGCCTGCTTAAAGTTGATGTCGTTAGCATAAATATAGGGCCTTACTGTTAATTAGTAACTTATATACACGAATCATATCTTCATTAATAACCATGATAAAAAAATAATAATAATGATGATTTATTAATTAAGGAAAAAAAATGCAAAATTTTGTAAAATGTTTCAATTGTTTTAAATAATAATAATAATTTAATTAATTTTATAATATTAATATTAAATTTAAATTCTGTAAATCGTATAAAGTTTATATATTAACCCGATGCTAAATCTATGGAATAGTCTAAAATTACAGGCTCATATATGAAATTACGGTTGAAAATTCGCGGAATTAATTATGTTTCTGGATAATTGTCTTCTCTCTACAACATTTATTCTGGAAGCTATGTTAAAACATGGGTTATATTTTAAAAAACTGGGCTTTGTAATAAGGTTATAACTTAATTTGGAAGGTTATAACCTGTATAAAATAAGTAAAATTGATTCAAAAGTAATATAAAGTTTCGCTTCTCTTATGAGCCTTAATTTTGGATTGTCTAAACACGTATTTTCGATTTCATTCAGAAGAGTCAAGCCTTAAGGCCTATGCAGATTTTTCATTCTGTATCAGTGAAAAGTTAATGATAACTTTGAAACACGGTTGGAGTGGTTCCGAACGGCATTTTAAACCTGTTTTTTCGTATGTCAGCTGTCAAATTACACGAAAAAATATCGTTAACGCTGTCAGTAAAGTAGGCATTGACTTTAAGAAACTCCTGTCTTTCTTCTCTTCCTAAATTACTGCAAAATACTATTCTAGACTTGTACTGCAGGCAGGGCCTTACTTGCCTATTAGTATAACTACATTACTTATTTTTGGGGGTCATTTTTACATTCTTATGCCTCTAGTTGAAATTAAAACCTAGTTATACATTCTTAAGGGCCTATAAAACTCGAAGGCCTTGGCCTGTTTGGCTTTAAATCATGTTTAACTTTATATAAATTGTATATAAAACTGCAACGTAAGCAATATGATCATTGTATAGCCTGGTGCTTTTGGGTTTATGTATATATACACTATAGGCTTGTTTGTATGGCCTTATATAGTCTTCAAATTTATATATAAATACTGCAGGGCCTTTAAGACGTTATGCAGCCTTATACTATATAATTTTGTATAGTCTCGTTTATGCTATAAAATATATTTTTATGTTATTGCATGCCTTTGAGTTTACTTTGTAAGCTTGTGGCTGTGTGTTGTAACTTTATTTAAGGCCTTAAATGATTAAATAAATTGCAGATCTTTAAACGGCAATCTCTATACAACACAGCCTGACATCAAATCGTGTTTAATATATTAAAATAAGTTAATTTACCAAATTTAAAAATGAAATTCCATTAAATTAATATTAATTATTACGTAAAGCAACGAGATTGACGCCGTTTAAAAGGTTAATTAAGGTAGGAGGGAGGCCGATTACGACACGAGACGTCACAGAGTCACCGTTACGGCATGAAAATGATGTGTGGAAACCAATCATTGGCTTAATTAAGTCTTTGACATTCGACCTTAAACCAATAGAGTGGATGTAATTACTTTGCCATTGTGATGTTTAGCACCTGGTGTCATTTCGTCCAATGAATGCGTTATGTTGCGTTATACTCTTCGGATCAATGGACGAATTTTCGACCATCTGCCACTCGACACGAGCTTGACATGCGTATTTGACATTTCCTCGTCCGATACGTCAATCGCTTACGCCAGCTGCACCAATAATTATCGCATGTTTCGTCGTGTAAGTCGACATTAAAGATGACAACCACGTGGTTCATTAAGAGCATCGATTATTTTATGAATTGCTCTGTTTAAACATTAAATTCTATAAAGTTAAGTAGTGTTTCTTTACGTGTTTTCTGGTATACGTACGAACCTAACCTTAAACGGTGTTTTGTAAGGTAAACAAATACTCCTCGAGTTACTACTTAAAAGTGGTCATCAATAATTTACCAACATTCTTACAGAATAACGCTTCTAAATAAGGTATACAAACTATGCTTCTGCTTGTAAAAGTCGATGCTAGTAGTTTAATTAATAAAGTTCCTCTCTTTAGGAGGTGCATTCGCTTTGTCTAAATAGTGTGCACTTTAACGTCAAATTTGACGTCATTGTTGCACTTTAGTGTCAGGAATAAGTAAAAAATGACGTCAAATTGTACACTATTCGGACAAACAAATGCACCCAGGCTTACAAGTACAGACAATAGACTACCAGCTTCCTTATAAATTTATTAACATAATTAAAACTATAATAAAATATTCGAATAGAATAATCGAGGAAGATTTAATTTTATTTAATGAAAAACTGAGTTAAAACACCATAAATATTAGGGAAGACTTATACAATAGTAAGTTGTAAAGTTTAGTACCTATTACGTAAGAATATTTTTAAATTTAAATACAAAAATATGGACAAATTAGATCACCTGTTTCACAGTTATCGTCGTCTTCATCCGTCTTGTTTCGCTTTCTCTTATTGGTTTTCTGTGTAGAATCGTCAGTTTTTGGCTTGAGTATCTCGTCGATGGTGTACGACATGACGTTCGATGGTTTGGAAACGTCCCTGTTAGCGTTAGAAGCAGGGGTGTTGAGGACGGGGGAGTCGCTAGTACGGGAGGTTTGCCCTAAATTAGAAGATTGCAGTGCAGTCCCCGATAGAAGATAAGTGGTCGGTATGTAGGGGAGAGGTGGAAGCGATAAAGGTACTTCGCTGGTGGGCGATTGTCCACCTGAGTGTAAAGGAAAGTAGTAAAATTACGTCATAGTAAGTCCGGTGACGTTTAGACTCGCGTAGGCCCTAAATTTCCGCAGTTTTCTGAAGGTACAGTACTTACTGGTGGTTAGCTGGGGTTCTTCGGCCACTAAATGGCCACTGTTTCTTAAGATTCTGTTGATGGAGGACACGCTGGGGATCGATTGTTCGTCGCATACTTTCTGGCTACGTAGGAGGTCCCGAATCTCCCACGCGAAAATCGAAGGATTCTCCTGTTTGTAACGTAGGATTTTCCTCACCACGTGAGGCGTTGCAACCTGCTACATTAGTGGAATAAAGATAGAAAATTAGAGCATTTCTCGAATAAGATTTGTTAAGTATATTCGAGTTTCGAGTGGATTGGAGAGAAAAATCGCGACGGATCTTCTTTATATCGAAACGTAACCTCGATATAGCGATGGAAATGCAAGTAAGAATGTCCTAATTCAGTGTAAGACTTTCGTTATGTCGAGTAAATTCCAGGTATGTCTTCGATATAACGATAAAAACGTGAATAAGAACGCTCTAATTCAAGATAAGGCTACGTTATATCGAGTAATATCCCAGTAAATCTTCGATATAACTTCGCTTCTCTAATTTTCAGACTTAGAGTCTAGAAAAGTTAAATTGTAACTTCGTTGTAACGAGATAAATTAGAATATTTCTTCTCCAATAGCCTTGTTATATTAAGATAAAAACTTCGCTTCGTTATATTGAGAGAATTCAAAAGAGAACTTCACTCTAACGATGAAAAAAGACGTCTCTAATTTAGGAATTTAGCTTCATTATATCAATAAAACGTTACAACGAGATATCGAAAAGACTTATCCTGATTCATCTAATTGTAACATTTCTCTCGTTATAACAAAGTCACTGACTTTTCTCGAAACCAAATATTGAGATAAAAATCAGTATAAGTGCTTGTCTATCATTATATCGAAGATTTATCCTGACTTTTCTCTACATAACGATGCTAAACCCCAAATTATAGAAGACTTATCCTGAATTTTATCGTTACAAGAAAGTTCTGTCTCCGAGTTCCTACGTTAAATAGAGAAAAATTGCTGCATATCTTCACTATATCGAAATACATTGAGATAGTTAAGATCAGTACACTTCTACGATGTTTAAAAGCATAAAAAATCACCTAAAAATTGACGAGGATCCAACTTTAAACCAATAAAAGCCTTGGAAAATTAAATATCCCTCTATAAAAAACGTTAAATCGAAGATTTCTCTTGAATTAGTTCTTCCACTTCTTCTCTAAGTGAAGATGCAGAATGGAGACAACTGTAGAAACCTCGTAATAATGCATTCTCATACCACCTGGAAGGTTTCATTAAGTTGTTCAACAGCCGAATTGACCTCGGGCCATCGAGGTTATCCATCACCTGCGAAATCTGACAGGAGACGGTAGCTCCTACCACCAAAAAAAAAAAAGAAAACCCCCCCTAAATAATAACACTAAATTTCCGTATTGTCCAAGAGATAATTCGCAGAAACCTTCAAATTTTTCTATATTTTATAACAATAAAACACTAAAATGAATTTATTAAAAGATTCTGCAACGTTATTTTTCTATATTGGACCCAAAAATTTGCATATATTTGGTGAAATTGCCAGCGATCTCAGCAGACTTCGTGGGATAAATCGGCGACTCGCTCTCATTACACTTAAAATAAACTTCGGCAAAACTTCGTTATAACGATGAAGAACAGAATAAGCTTCGAGATTTGGCTTCGTTATATCGAGAAAAGTCGGGATAAATCTTCAATATGACAATAAAATCAGGGTAAGCCTTGTGTAAGTAGTAATTTAACATCGTTACGTCGGGGCAGAACTTCTCTATAATAATAAAAATCTGGATGAGTTTTCTAATTTGTCTTCGTTATATCGATAAAAATCCACATTATATTATGTTTTTACGATTTACGTGCCAATTCGACCCCGTTTTAACGTCAGAATGCTTTAAAACACGTATCATGCCCGCAAACCGAGTAACCGTTACGTGAAGTTCTATCGATATTTTTACTAAAAATAACCGAATTAAACCATTTATTTTTATACGCTGAGAAGGGGAGGATGAAGTGAAGGTGAAGAGACAATTGCTTCTCACCTGCCCCAATTGTTCACGCACTAACTGCACCGTCACGAGTTGAACATCGATCGTGACGAATGTGGCAGATGCATCACTCGGATAAGTTTAAAGTTCATTTAAATTTTATCGAGGGGAACGTCTTTTTTTCTTTTATAAATATATATATACAATAAAAACATCGCATAATACGTCACAGGGTCGCGAGAAAATGGCGCCTGCCTCTTAAATCTAAGCTCTAATTGTAACTTAACTAAGAACTTACTTTGGGCTTGCTTCCTCCTATGGAACCAGGTTTGATCGATCCGGTTTCGTAGAATCGTGTCAGAATTTTTGACACGCATCCGTGAGATACCAGCAACTGCCTCGATATATCGCATGGTCTGACTCCCATAAGTGCCAACTCCACGATTCTTCGACGAACGTAGTCGGGTAGAGGCCTCCCATTGACAAAAACACCTCCCAGTTGGTTGATGCCAGCCTGGCCTGAGGGGGGAAAAATCAGTTAGAAGTCACACACCCTTCTTACACTAGAGCCGCGGCTAAGAACGATACACTAATGTATAGCTGCAGCAACGTGTTAAACACATAAGTAGGCCTTTTCTATTATTACTACAATTTTGAGGCCTCTGCTATTAAAAACTCTCATGTTGTAGATCTGTTTAGTTGCAGAAGCCTATCTTACAAACATTACACAAATAGGCCTTCATGTAATTGAGGCCTTTGTGTATTTAAGCTTTCTATGTGCCAAATTGTACGAATCACTGTTAGATAGGCTGTGTTCAGACAGGCTTTTCTTACGTAACGTCATGCTGCAACATCAGATGAACCTGTCTGAACGCAGGCCTGCATCAAAACTATAAAGTCAATTTACTAAACTAGGCCTTATTATAATCCAGCCTTTTTGTTACTCTTTACAGAATAGTTTAACATATTCTGCATCCACTTTTCCATCGATTTCAATGGTAATTTACCTTTAACATCAATAAAAATGGCAAAATGTTGATACAGTAAAGTTATATTCTATACAAAACCCTTCGTAACGTGTCTATAATAATAAATTAATAGCTTAAGACAAGATTACAAAGTCAAATTTTTAAAAAATTCTTACCTTTAAATTACAATTCTGAAGCATTACAAGTAAAATTGATTAATTGACACATTCGCAAGCGGGTAATTTAAGAGGAATAAATAATTTGAATAGTTAATGTAGTTTCGTACATCAACAGACACGCTAAACAAACAATGAGAGCGAGATGAATCTGTGGATCACATCTGCCTCTAAGTGTTGCGAGAGGCATAGGAAGAGGGGGAGAATAAACTAGAAGAGAGAAAGAGGGGGGAAACGATCGAGAGGGCGGTTCTCCACCTGCTTCGGTGCATCACTATCAATTATAGACTCCCTTTCGTCAGCCACTTGTCTCTGCAAGTACCTAATGATTAGTTAAGCACTAGTCCATTCCCTCTCGGGAACTAGATTAACTGCAGTTACCGGGCCATTCCCACTAGGTAATTGGTCGAAATTCGGCAGGTGTTTGGCTCTCGACTTTTTCTTGAATATGCCTTGGGTCTAATTACAATAACAACAGTTTCCTCGGGTTTCTTTCTTCTCTTCTTCGACCCCTCATAATAAATATTAATGAACCACGTTTTAACATTACGGGTATTGCGGCTCTTGTTTTATGCCCTTTGCTACAAGTCTGTGAACATTCTGATCGCATTTTCTAATCAAAAACATTATATTCATGATTATCTGCATGTAATTTACGATTTATTTCGCTTAATTTCTTGTTTAATTTTTATAATCACTGCATTAATTGATTACACAAATGGATCTTGATGAATTTTGAATATTAATATTGAGGACGCTAATTTTTAAATATACATTCGATTTGTATTGTAAATGCAGATAAATTCATAATATTTTGCTTATATTTTCTCGATTAAACAGTATTTTTGTTCAATTTTATTTAACTTTAATAATACTTTTTAGTCCATTTTAATTAAATACACTTTAACGGGATGCTGGCTTAAATCGAATTGTATCAACTCTTTCCGCATTAAGCTTAATTTTAATTTTAATTTATCGAAAGTAGCCATAGAAACTGTCTTTTCTGTAGTTAAAATCATAAAGAAGAATTTAATTTTAATTTAAAAATATACCCCAAAATTGCCCTTCTGTAAGTAAAATTCGGACTTGAAGCAAGAAATACAGAAAAAGATCGTTTCTTGCTTATTATCAAATCTACACAAAGAAAAATTTATTAAGCTTAAAACTTGATGAATTATTCAAAGAGATAAACATAAATTGTACTTTTTTTTTATCACAATGTAAATTCTTTAAACTGATATATCATTCGCTTAATCCGCCGAAGAATTCGACTCCATTTTGAATTAACCAACTTCCTACACTTCCGTAATTGATTTAACTCTGAAATTAACTCGTTTGAACGTCTCCCTTTTGTTAACGTAAAGCAAATACGGCTTTATTACCTTAATGAAACTGTTATGAATCCCTTCCTCCCTTTCATACAATTCATAAAGCAGGAAGGAGAAGACTTAATTATCGTTTACTTCGATTTTGTTATTATATTTACAGTCGAAATGAAAAATTTCCACCGGTTATCGCCTCCAAAATATTCTCAAAAATAAATTAAATTAATAATCGATTTTTAAAAATTAAATTATATAAATTAACTTTTAATTGTGGTGGCGCTGCGATAGTTTAATAGTTATATCTCTATGACAGAGATTTTGCCATAGAAATCAGGATTTTCGTTCTATTGCGCCACCTAACTTTTTCGTTTCTTGTTTTGCAAAAATCAAATTTTGGACATTTTCTCCAAAGTTTTATATATAAAATTTCTCATGCAATTACTCTCAAAGCATTCTGGCATGGAAAAAGAAAACAAGAGTCTACCGATAACACGCCAGAACTCAAGTTTGGCAGTAACAAACGAGACAGTTTCGTCTCCCCCGGCCATAACAATTGATGTATGCAGTCACAATACTTCCCAAATGACCGCTGTTACGTCACGGCCGCAACCACCGTGACATTTAATTATGACAAAAGCTTTTTTTCCCCGTCCCGAACTACCAATCGTGCCTTAGAATGGCAACTGTAATCGTCCGGAAGTTACAACGTGTGTGGATGAGTCGCCGGCCCGTTATGGCCGATGGCTTATTGAATTATTTGTCAAATATCCCGTCTGGCCAGGTTTTGGCCACGGTATGTCCGAGGTTTGCCGACGTTGTAGAAAAACCTTTCTTTTTATGTCGAGACGATCGTAAAATGCAACTTTTTTTTTGGACGACTTGGCAAAGGAAAAGCTATGATTTGTGAGGCTTACCAGAAAACTTCTATATTAACCACTTACCATCAATATTACAAATTATTGGATACAAACCTTAGCGAATAGGTCTTGCGATATTTTACCCCCGGGTTGCTATATCTCGAGTTGCAACAAGCAGTTTAGTTTTATTTGTTTCTATCGGATGTAATTCCCCCCATAATCGTAAAGAAAAACTTTCTTTATCAGCAATGTGTCCGAACTCTTTCCAAGCATTTAGACCTAAACTCGTTACTATCAACCACTTCAAAACTCTTGTCGAGATAATTGAAACTAAACGCAATAAGAAAAATCTGTTAAAATTAATTATTTTATAAATGTTTTTAAATATTTACACATAAAAAAAAGAAACTTTTTTATTGGTTTTTCAAAAAAAGTTTTTAATAATTATTATTTTGATAAGTTAGAGGGCGTTATTCATTGCGCCCTCTAATTTATCGAATTGATTTGAATTTATAAAAATATATATTATTTTATTGAAAAGTAATTTTTTTAAAAAAAATATTACTTACCTGTGTGTGGCATTCTTCTATACTATAAATAAATTAAAATTCATCTAAAAATAAGAAAATATTTTCATAAAAATAAGTTCAAAATATAAAAATTCGTTGAAGAATTTAAATTTATATACTGTATATATAAAAATTACGGCGCCATCTAGTGATTACTTTGCGCAGTTGATACCTTAATTTAAGAAATTATTCTTTTAAATTAAAAAGTGATGTTTTGCGTTTCGTTATTTTTTTAAACAGAATAAAATATTTTATTTTATTTATTTTTTTTAGTATTAATTAATTATGTTTAACGCGAATCCCTCAGGCTACAGGCATGTATTTGTGAGCCCTGTAGGCATATCCACATGCAGACATGAAAGGTATTTTGGCATGCTTATGAGTGTTGTATCATTAATTTTTATCAGAAAACGGAGAAAAATTATATAGAACAATGTATATGTATGTCAAGACAACTAATCTGTAGGCATTATTGAATAGGATCAATAATGCCTAAGTTGGTAACAATATGTATAACATGCCAATGTAATATTATTAAAAATTATGCTGTTTTGCACAATTTCATTCACCAATAACGCAATTTATTTACGTTCGTACACAAATAACTATGTTTTATGTAGCCTGTCACGTGTTAATTTAAAACAAGATTTTTTTTAATAAAATTATTAAATACAGTAAACAATTACGATCTTTATGTTTAAATTTATAATTTATTCCCCCAAAATAATATATTTTTTTCAAAATTTTGCTATGCGAATACCTTAAAAAAACACTCAAAATGTCGGCTTAATCAATGCGTTGTTTGATTCTGAATCAAAATTGTTACCTTTAAAAATATTGAATAATAGATTAAAAAAAATAAAAGAAATTGTTAAAGAATATTCTAAAAATATTCTATACTTTATAGAGATGTAAAATTTGATCTCCTACGAGTTTAATTTGATCGATTTTGTAAGTTATTCATCGAGAGCAATTTACATTGTTATCTTCGAACTTAGAGAAATCTTTGGATTTTCGATGATAGATTTATGAAGTTGAGTCTAGAATTTAGTAAGATTGATAGTTGGCGAAATGATCCCGTCACCCCACCTCGTCAAAGTGACCAGAAATAAAGTACAGTTGTAGTATCTGCTGTGTCATATATCATAAAATATAACTATAAATTGGTGCCATTATGCTCGAAACACACAGTAATTGTGTAAAAATTCGAAACTTCAAGTTAGAATTACATATATGCGTGTTAATAATAAATTTTAACCGCATTATTACGTCAAAATCAACAATTGTTACGTAATAAGAAGTTTAAATAGCATTATTACGTCAGAACTAAACTTGTTACTTAATAATGCATTTTATGCATATTATTACGTCAAAACCAATAATTATTTAAGATTTTCAATTGTCTAATTTTTTAAAATAAATGTTTTTACTTTTTCTTGAATGAGTTTTATTTCATTATTGCATAACAATTGTTAACTGTGATGTAATAATACGGATAAAACGATACCTACGTAACAATTATCGGTTAAGACGTAATCACATGTGTAAAGTTTATTATCGCGTAATAGTTGTTGGTTGTGACGTGATAAAACGGACAAAAATTGTAGTTATTATGTAACAATAATTTTTAACTACATTATTACGTCACAGTCAACAACTATTACGCGACAATAAATTTTAATCATACGATTACGCCACAAACAAGTCACGTGGTTAAAACCTATTGCGCGTAATAATTGTTGATTGTGACGTAAGCGTATGTTTAAAACTTATTATTACGTAATGGCTGTTGGTTTAGACGTAATGATGCGATTGAAATTTATTATTACGTAAAATATTCTGGTTTTAACGTAACAATGCAACTAAAAATTAATAAATTACGTGACGTTGCTTTACGTTTTTATTTTTTAGCGTTTTTTTATTACGTAATAATGAGTTTAAATATTTAAAAAATATTTAAATATTGCTTTTATTTCTTTTTATTATTTTTATTATATTTTAAAAACGATTAAATAAATAAACGTAATGGATGTTTAAATTTGAAAATAATTCATTTAATTGTTATTAATTAATTAAAGAATAATGAAAGGAATTTTTAATTTTTTAATAAGAAAAAAATATATAACATTATATTGGCCTTTATAAATCAATGTAAAATACTTTACTAATTTAATAAATAAAATTATTAAATTTTTCGAGGAAAAAAAATATATAGATNCGGCCTACGAGACGTCTAAAGACTGAACTCTTCTACAATCACGGAAAACTGGAAGGGTGGAACAGACGAAACACCTTAACTAAGCCGTAATTGCTATCATTACGGCAGTTTATCGTGCATAATTTAGTAAGCGAGATCGCTCTTCTCACGTGCTTTAAAAAGAGAAATAAATATTCTAACATCCCCACAAATAAAAAGTAAAAAATAAATTAAAATTTATTACCGAAATTTTTATAAACAAATCTTTGATCTAAATCTATATTTTTTAAAGTAAATTTATTAAATTTTATACAATTTCAGGATATATTTTAAAAATCATAATTAAACGATGTATAAATTAATAAATATTTTTAAAGTTATTAAATCTATACGATGGCCAAAAGACGGTTTACCACGATTCTACATTATCGAGTGTTTGAATTAGGCAGCAATTTAGTGTCTACAAAGGTTAAGTGAATTTTGGACCGTTTTTTGTATATTTTAAATGCTGAATTATGACGTTATAAATGTCGGATTATGCGAGAAGTTGGCATACACAAGACAAAATCGACAGGTATTTTAATAAAGAAAGATTATAATTTTATGCAACGGGGCCCCTTCGTGTTGTAAGTATGAGGCCTGCCTGTTGGGTTATGAGGTTGGTAATTATATGCTTTTAATCTTTTCTTACAGCAGAACACATCAACATCTTTACACTTTAATTATAATATCGCTTGTGAACATTGTTTTTATCTGACTAGTAAACAGGCAAGATACAATAAACCTAATCGAGAGTTTAAAAAAGGCATCAGGTTAGTTCTTACAGTGGTTAACTTACTTTTGAGCCACCATATATAAAGTTTAGGAGAAAGCATTTTGTATGGTTAATTGACTTTTGGGCCACCCCTTACATTTTTATAACCGTCAGAATTATTGAAATAATTTAATATTTTCTTATAATGTTTTGGAAATTTAAATTTTAATCAGATAAAGTTAAGAATTTAAATAATTTTAAGACACAGATTTAAAGTAAAAAATAAAATTTATACTTTAAAAAAAATTATATAAAAATGTCAAACTTTTTAAATATTTTAATATTAAGTTTTAAAGCCAAGTTTCAATATATTACATAATAAATTATTAATGGAAAATTATATTTTTATAATTTCTTTTCCTATAATTTCTTGGATTTTTCTCTGTCTATATATATATAAAATGATGCATTGACCTTACGTGACCTAAGAAACTGATTATTTGAAAGTTCGAACGTTTTTCCTGTATGAACTTTGACCCTATTCCGGGATGTCTATGCTAGAGTTACCTATAACCTATAACAATTTCCTCTGTCACGACGGTGTAAATTGCCAAAATTTGCATTCATAGTTTGATTCTATATCAAAATTACTGAGTAATAACATTATTATCAAAGAATGCCCTTTATTATTTAACATGCCACCTACTTTAACACTATAAAAATGGGATTTTATATATAATTTTATCCAGTTTAACTTATATACTAGGATAACTGTACTAGCAAATAGGGTCGAATTTAGATTTGTTGTGGCCCTAAGCTATAATATATCCTCCTATAATATAAAAATTTAGTACCATTTGGTGAAATGATACTAAATTTAATGCTAGGCCCTAAACTGTAAATTCTTTAGCTTATATTAAATACAGCACTGCTAATAGAAACTACTAGTATTACACTATTCTTGCTACTAATCCCTTAAAGTGCCAATACACTGTAGGACATTTGAGATACATTTAAAGGGCCTACAGACACTTTTATTTATGATAATTGCATTTTGAGTGCGTGCCAAGTTGTAGAGGCCTTTATGTAGAATTTATAACCGTTCTATAGGCATTGCATGACAATGCAAATGTATTTATGTAGTAGGCACTAATCGCTAGTTTACGAGGCCTTAAAACGAGTATGGCTTCTAAGTAACGTTACGCTACAATTTAGAAGATTTTAAATATACTTTAAAAGTAAATTTTTACTAGAAAAAATGTAAGATTTTTCTCGACGATTCGTACTAAAAACGTAACAGACATTTATTATGCAAATATGTATATTTCAATTATTACGTAAATTGCAGCCGCCTGTTAATTTAACAATTACGCTTTTAACGGCCGTTTAATTCGGGAAAAACAAGAAAAACAACGTTTTTAATGTTTTAAAGAAGGAGGAAAAAAACGCAGTTTTTAAAAAAATAATTAATTAATTATATATATAGATGACAATAGATAAAGCAGTACTTACCTGCACGAAAGAAGCGCAGCCTGTACGGATACGGGCGAATGTCACCTTTTCGTTAAGTTTCGATCACGTCATTGGACCATAAAGCACCGGCACGGGGCGGGGCGGCCACGCACCCAATAGCTAACTTGGACCGGCGGTCACGTGACAACCCTTTACCAGAACCAAGTAATGAAAGTTTGAAGCAGGGGATGGAGTAGGAGAAGCACCTGCCTCTTTAGTCTCTGTCTCTCTTTTTCTCTCTCTCTCTCTCTCACTCTTGCCTTAAATCCCATTCGCGATTAATGAAGGACATAGGAAATTTTCTGTGTCCTATGGCGTCCGAAACGGCCACGCCGTGGATTATCTTGCTGTCATTAAGGGGAGAAAATCGAATGTTGTAGCAGGTGTCGGCCTACGAGACGTCTAAAGACTGAACTCTTCTACAATCACGGAAAACTGGAAGGGTGGAACAGACGAAACACCTTAACTAAGCCGTAATTGCTATCATTACGGCAGTTTATCGTGCATAATTTAGTAAGCGAGATCGCTCTTCTCACGTGCTTTAAAAAGAGAAATAAATATTCTAACATCCCCACAAATAAAAAGTAAAAAATAAATTAAAATTTATTACCTAAATTTTAACTTTTAAGCAACATTTCCAAATTATACAAGCGCCATTCTTATCTGTTCTAACTTAGCTATTTTAAAGGCCTAATTAATTAATTGTTTTTTTATGATTTCAAGAGATTTGGGGTCATAATTCATTTCTGAAATTGTAGAAATTTAAGTGAATTTTTAGAACATTGTTGGCACGCTACGAGCATTCACGAAGGGGTGCCATATGATGCCATATGTAAATGCATAACCGAGTAATGGGTGTGAAGGTAATTGAGAGATCATCACCGGTGTTTACGACTTCTAAATATCTGTATCGTGCGCAGATTTCTATCACCTGACGATTTGGTAACAGTTCATGATCCCCCTCAAGGCTTCCATACGTCCAGCTGGTACGAGGATCACGAATTGTATCTCACTCACTCTTCATCCTTTGTGTCAGGAGCGGAGGATAACGGGTGGATTCTTTTGATCTCTCCTAAATTATAAATTTGGGATTAGGAAAAAATTATACTAAAGCTTCCTCAAAACACATTAATCAACGCGTTACGTTTAAAAACCAATGTTTAATGCAGTTCGAATGGGCTTAACGGTGCTTCACACCTAAAAAATGCTCGGTTAATTTAGTAAATTTTGAATTTTAGAGCCTAAATTTTGATCTAAAACCCTTAAAAACATAAGAGCCAGCTTTACCACTGATAAAATCTTGCAATTATATTCTTACAGTAGTTTATTTTTTGCTTTTTTTTGCATAAAATAGCTGGATTTTCTGTGGATTTATATTTATAATTTGTGGGTTTTTTTGTAAGCAGAATTGAATTTTTACAGCTTATGAGGCTGTAAGCTGTAGCTTAGAGCCTCGTAAACCATAACATAAAGGCTTTTTTCCCTCTACCAGATAATTATTATTATTATTTGGTAGAGGGGAAGGGCCCTTCGTATATTGCAGCTTAGGCCACATCGAGTCTGATTAAATCTTACCTTTACCTAAGAGTTATATTATAACTTATGGGTTTTCTGTTAGTTCATCGTTGTAGAAAGTTTCTTATCATTCTAAATTAGACCTTATTATTGATAAAATTGACTTTTAAGGTCCATATTCATGCTGAAAAACTTGTCATCCTCACACCAAATATGCAAATTGTACTGTGCCATAAAAATCGGGTCCAAAATCTTTGGTAGAATAACGGAAAGGAAAACCATTTTCGAAAGATTCGTAGCAGGTGTTGGCATCTGGACCGATCGAGAAAGTTAGTAACGACACCGGGTGACGTCACCAAAAGTCATTGCTCACCCAAGAACTGTTGACAGAATTGCCATAAACGAATAAGAACGAAGCACGGGATTCTAATTACGTTGTTGTATGATCGCCCATTGATGCATGACACCCGATGACTTTATGATCTCTGGAGGGTGAAAAGTGGTTGATCGTTTCCGGGTCAAACAGTTAAGTATGGCATTCATGCTGTCGGTAATAAAACCTTTCAAGCATATCGCTCGTGGTCACGGAATATGGCCCCCTGACTAGTCTACAAAACGGGCAACCGAAATCATAGAAAAATTGGATGAATAAACCGTTTAATGAAAAACTAAAAAGCTCAATGTAACCATGAAAAATCGTTTAAACGTCTCATTTTTCTCACGCTAGTTTATACTGTTTCGCCATTTTGAGTCGTGTCATAAGTAGTTCGCGAGGCATTACAACTGTAAAATTAAATTAATTAAGCTGTATTTTTTTGTATATCGAGGGATTAATAGGGCCCGCATCAACCTAGGTATTTGTAGGGCCTATATATTCCTAGATTATTGTGAATCTTACATCTAACGTAGTGCTTCGTTATCGTTAAACGATGCATTTCTTAATACTCTTATCTACAGATCAATTTTAATGCAAAAATATGGCGTAGTATGGTAAATTTTTTAGTAAATCTGCTCAATATCATCCCATCAACAATGATAATCGCGTTTTCATAACGGGGATGAGAGAGTGGATATCTTCCGGAAACCGGATTGTTGGAGGGGGACGAACCGATTAACTCCAGCAAAATCAATCATCCCTTGTTAACAGAAAACCATCAAGCGTAACTTTGCTCGAAAAACAGCATTAGTCAGCGGAATGGCGACAATGTAGATGAAAATTCTATCTATAATCCCTGCTTGCATTGAATAGTTCGCCAATTATACGCCACGTGGCGCTGTCATCACGCTGTAGATATCGGCAGCTGCACGACAAATGTTGCCAAGCCGTAAAATTCGTCGGGTCCCTCGATACGCTTCAAAGATGACGTACGATCTGTGGCTGTCCATTGTGGTTTTTCTTTCCCCGACCTTTCGGGAATAGGGGGGAGGTTTAGTGAAACTCTCTCCCTTCCACTCCATAACTCGCCATTTCTACCTGCGGACAAACAGCTACTATATTAAGGGATCGTTTCAGGTCGTTAACTTCATGGTATTCACTAGTGAATAGGACTTAGCCGTTTAGAAAGTCGATTTACGATCGTTTCGGATGCAATTTTTACTAAGGAAAGAAAGATTCCGTTTCGAGAGACCCTCTATAGAGTGGTGTTTTAATGTTAGTGCTAAGGTGTGCCCACACAAGCTTCGAGCGCGACCGTTTGGGGAGTAAATAAATAACAGACGGATAAAGAAAGACCTGTTAAGAGCTATACATTTTTCATTTTGACCCCACTAAAGTTGATAAAGCGAGAAAAAATGCCGCCTATTATGGTTATATCACAATAGAACCACCAGTTACATCCCTAAAAGGCCTATAGAAAACACGATAAGCATAGACACATCGATTATCACCATTACATAAATAATAGTACTTGCACAAGCGCATTTAGTATGCCCTATAATGAGTTAAACATTTACAAAATTGCAAATACTGTAATTAAATACAGAAGGCCCGAGTACTTATAGAATTAACAGGTTTAAATTAATTATATATTAATACCCGATGATATAAATTTTTCAGGCTTTAGTTTTAGGCCTTACACTCTTAATAATGCGTGTATAAACGTTTAGAATAACGCGAAAGAACCATTATAATTAGGCCTAGTTAGGCCTTTACAAAAATCACAGATATCGATGGTTAGTATTTACGAATCTCTTTTAAAAACAAATAATGAAATAGTGAATGTATTAATAATATAAATTTCACAGGAGACACGGTTATAATTTTCTAATATTTTTTTCGTTTACTCGTCGGCGGCGTATAATAAATTAATGAAAAATCGGCAAAGAGTTCCGAAACCCCAGCCTTACAGAGTAGTTTAGAACAATTGTAGATGGGAGTGGTTGATGAAGTAGAAATGGCTATCAGCTATAGAATGAGTTATTTATCTAGTGTGAGCTTCGGGCGGAAGGCTTTGCAGTAGAAAGTCAAAAGAGATTGGAGAAGAGCAAAACTTGTTGGAGTGGAAGGCGCCTTTAGACAGGTGCCCCGGACAGATTACGTCCCAATTAGAGAGAGGGAAGGAGGAAGGCCGTGACGCCCAGATTACAGTCCGGGTGTGGCAGTCCGAGATAGTCACAGTCGATGGGAAAGGACGGATGGCGTGGAAACGTCATCTGGCTGTTCTGCTCTTCTCCCCCGAGAACGTAGACGATTGGACGGAAGCGCCGATCCACTTAATTCGACGTCGACCTATCTCTCTAGAAATGGCGTCGATCCCCAGAAATTTTCCCACCGTCTCTAGTGGTTTCCTCTACAAATGGCCCTCGATCGAAAAGCGTTCGCTCGATCTAATCAACTTCTCTTTCTCGACATTCGTGGAAAAGGTTTCTCTTTTCAATGAAAGCCAGCCATTTTTTTTTTTTTTTTTTTTTATGATAGCTGTCGACAGAAACTAACCACAACTTGGAAGTTTTCCTTATTTATAGTGTATAGGTTATATATATACAAGTATATATAGCAATTTTCTTCCTGTTTGATTTATTTATCTGCAAATTGAAATAGGTCTAAGCTACATCAGTATTCGAGGGAAAAATCCCTGTATCTAAGAATTATTAGCTCTTATTTAGGGAATTTTTACGAAATTAGTAAGATTATCTCAACTGTAAATTGGAAGTTTTATAGAAATATCCAGGGATTTTATCGTTCCATAAAAAAATTTTTAAAATAATTTATCAATTATTTTTTTTTCACTTTTCATTAGGGAATTTATTAAGATTTGATAAATTATAAACAGGGAATTTTAAAGAATTTTATTAAAGTTTTTACTCTATATTAGGGAATTTAATGTTTTAGTTATTTTTATCTTTATTTAAGAATCACAAATAAAAATGATACTTTAAACTTCTTTTTATCTCTAGAGAGAGAGAGAGAGTTAAGTTATGTTAATTAATATTTAAAGTTTATTTTTAAAATATATTTTTTCTTTTAATAAAAAAAAATTAAGTCTAATCGATTTTAAATTTGTGGGGAATTTTAATGGGGGAAAAAAACTTTGCAGATTTTTAAAGTAAATTAAAATATCTAATACCGTTTAGATAAATTGTAAGGAAAATACAGTATTGTATTTTCAAATTTTATTATTATATTTATAAAAGAAGTACAGTGTACAGTATTTTTTTTTTTTTTTTTCAGTTTTAGTTTATGAAAATTCCCTACGAAGAAAAATATACAGTATGTAGGGAAATTCTTTTATTTCTATTAAAATTAGAATATATTTTAAAATCACATTTATTTATTTATTTATTTATTTATTTTAAAAGTAAATAATAACGTAAAATTTTTTATATACTTTTTCAAATTTATTTATTTATTTATTTTTTCGCTTAAAACTGATTGGTCTAAATTTGAAAATTTGAATATTTGAAATTTTTGAATTCGAAAGTAAGATTTCGTTTGGAAAAAATCGAATTTTCTCATAGAAAAACGGCATAAATGTTAATTTTATAACGTTTTTATGTTCTATATTAACGAATTTCTAAAAAAAAAAATTCATAAAAATCCCTAAATGGAACCAACATTAAAAATTGATAATTTATGTAATAAAGAAACTGTTATAGATGAAGAAACCAAAGATGAAGATAACGATGCAAAAAGACACTGCAAAAGTATTGTAAGAAAGCTGCAATCACTCCTTTACAAATGCTAAAGTACAGGGTGGTCCAGAAGTCAGTTAACCATATTAAGGTTATTTACTTGCACACAAACACAGTTAACTAACTTTTGGACCATCCTGCCAAGTTTATGCAGGATATACATGCATTTTTAAAAGGTTTTTAACATAAAATTTAGGCACTTGAATGGGTGATTGGCTTCAATAGTAATGTACCAGTTGCAAATATATCATCACAACAAGACAAGAAGATAGTTTATGCCACTGGTTATGCACCTGTTATATATGATTTGAAGAATGATGAAGAAAAAATATTAATTGGCCATGTAAGAGGTTATAGCATTATTATCCTAAGCTTCAAAATTTTTAATATAAATTATATTAAATTATGCTTTTATTTGTAGATGAGTAACATCACCTGTTTAACTCTGTCATCTGATAGAATATGGCTTGCTACTTCAGATGCTGGTGAAGATAATTGCTTAATTATATGGGATATGAGAACTTAGCAAGTATAATTATATTGTCTTTATAATTTTTAATGAAATTTCTCATATTTTATTTAATAATTTGTAGTGTGCCAATAAAAAATATATCAATTTATCCAAAATATGGAATAAAATGCATGAGTTTCTCTGAAGATTCTAAATATCTTTTAACTTTAAGTAATGAACCCATTCAGGTAATGTACAGTACATTAATTTAGATTATATGAATTTTTTTTTTTTTTATTAGCATTTGTTTATATAATTGTGTAAATTGATATTATTTTAGAGAATTTCAATTATAAATTGGAAGATGGATGATTATTATATTATTGATACTATAAATATTAGGGAAGAGTATGGTAAACAGGTAAAACTATTCTAATTTACATGTAATTTAGCCATTTAATTTTAATTGTTTTATATAGAAAAGATGACTCAAAAGTCAGTTAACCACAGGATTGAAATTAGACTTTTGACCCTAAACTATAACATATAACAGCCCTTTCTCTTTCACCAAATAATGATGCATAAAAAAATGTAAGGACCATAGACTCATAATGTAAGGCCCTAAGCTTCAGCTTATTTAGCTTCTTGTTCAATACACAAATTACAACATTGACATTGGTAAATTATTCATTTTCTTGCAAAACTTGCAGAATTGCTTGGGGGAAAAAAAAGGTTAACTGACTTTTGGGCCATCCTTTATGTTAAAGATTATCATCAATTTATTCATGTAAGTAAACTGATCAATATTGAACAATGGTTTGTTTAATATGGATGAAGTTAATGTTTTATCTAATGTAAAAATATATTTACAAATTAAGCTTTTGTTTGTTTCGTTTAAAGTATAATTTTTAAAATTGTTAGAATGTTAAATTAATATCTTTAAAAATACTTTTGTATTACATAAAGTAGTTTTCTGTTAAAATAACTGAAAATATATATGTACTTTTAAAGATTTAATTAATTAGTTAATTAAATTTTTATTTGTTAAATAAAAATTTATACTTAATTAATAAAATAAGTTTATTAATTATCCTACTTTTATTTTGTTAAAATTTATATTGTTTTTTTCCCAGCATCACATATCATTCCATCCAATACATTCTTCATATTTCATTTCAACAGGATCATATAGAGTGATATTCTATCAACTAGTAAGTAATTCATTAATGCATTTTTAAAACATTTTTATATATTGCAAACTTTAATATGCAATTTTATTTTTCTATAGTTAGATAATGAAAATATCCTTCATTACTATTCGCCGATTATAACCCATAAGGTAAGTTGTACCAATAGTAACTCCTTAAGATAAGCTGCACTAATTATAATTCCTTAAGGCAAGCTATATCAATAGTTATTCATTTAGATAAATACAGGATAAGTTGTACTAATTGTAGAACTTATCCTGTATGTTTTGATTATGATAAGCTGTATCAATTATAACTCATAATAACCTATAGAATTATAAAATTTATAACAAAAATAAACTGTTATTTATATAACTATTTAGGATTTTTCACGTTCTCTGGGTTTATTCAATCAAACTATTTATCTAAAATCACCAGATATTGCTCTGACAGCAACTTCTATGGGATATATAATTACTTGGGATAATCAATATGCAAAAGATAGTATGTTATTGGATTTATCTTATAAATTAATTTATTAATTGTATTAAAAATATATAAATTTGTTAATGAATTTTATCATTAGATAATGTGTTAAGTTTCGATCACGTCATTGGACCATAAAGCACCGGCACGGGGCGGGGCGGCCACGCACCCAATAGCTAACTTGGACCGGCGGTCACGTGACAACCCTTTACCAGAACCAAGTAATGAAAGTTTGAAGCAGGGGATGGAGTAGGAGAAGCACCTGCCTCTTTAGTCTCTGTCTCTCTTTTTCTCTCTCTCTCTCTCTCACTCTTGCCTTAAATCCCATTCGCGATTAATGAAGGACATAGGAAATTTTCTGTGTCCTATGGCGTCCGAAACGGCCACGCCGTGGATTATCTTGCTGTCATTAAGGGGAGAAAATCGAATGTTGTAGCAGGTGTCGGCCTACGAGACGTCTAAAGACTGAACTCTTCTACAATCACGGAAAACTGGAAGGGTGGAACAGACGAAACACCTTAACTAAGCCGTAATTGCTATCATTACGGCAGTTTATCGTGCATAATTTAGTAAGCGAGATCGCTCTTCTCACGTGCTTTAAAAAGAGAAATAAATATTCTAACATCCCCACAAATAAAAAGTAAAAAATAAATTAAAATTTATTACCTAAATTTTAACTTTTAAGCAACATTTCCAAATTATACAAGCGCCATTCTTATCTGTTCTAACTTAGCTATTTTAAAGGCCTAATTAATTAATTGTTTTTTTATGATTTCAAGAGATTTGGGGTCATAATTCATTTCTGAAATTGTAGAAATTTAAGTGAATTTTTAGAACATTGTTGGCACGCTACGAGCATTCACGAAGGGGTGCCATATGATGCCATATGTAAATGCATAACCGAGTAATGGGTGTGAAGGTAATTGAGAGATCATCACCGGTGTTTACGACTTCTAAATATCTGTATCGTGCGCAGATTTCTATCACCTGACGATTTGGTAACAGTTCATGATCCCCCTCAAGGCTTCCATACGTCCAGCTGGTACGAGGATCACGAATTGTATCTCACTCACTCTTCATCCTTTGTGTCAGGAGCGGAGGATAACGGGTGGATTCTTTTGATCTCTCCTAAATTATAAATTTGGGATTAGGAAAAAATTATACTAAAGCTTCCTCAAAACACATTAATCAACGCGTTACGTTTAAAAACCAATGTTTAATGCAGTTCGAATGGGCTTAACGGTGCTTCACACCTAAAAAATGCTCGGTTAATTTAGTAAATTTTGAATTTTAGAGCCTAAATTTTGANTTTATTATTTTGCTTTAAAATTTTAACTTTTTATGTGAGCTCTTTTTATAAATAATTTTTTTATAGTTTAAATTATAAAAATGGTTCAAATATTTAACTACCCATGTAGCATATACAATACTATATATTTGTTTTCTTTTGTTCTTGTATATACTGATATATATAGCTTTTGTTATCCTTGATATACATAATCCTTATAGACAGGGACACAGATAAGTTAAATAAGCTTGCATATAAACAAAACAAGCTGTGGCTTAGGGCCTCTCATTTTGACATGAGTATTATTTGATAAGGGAAAGGACCTATTATATGTTAAACTTTTGATCACAACAAAGTCCATCATTGCTTATAAACCTTTCTTATAGCCTATATTGCTATGCTTAAGTCATTTTTATGGGCAATTTAGGCTATATGATATATGTAACAATACATTTTTTATGAGTATACAAGGCTGTTGAGAGTGTGAGCTGGTTATTTTCTTCTAACTCCAAGAAAGCTTAGGGGTCCACAATGTTCTCTACTCCTATACATTTAATGCTATTTTTACTATAAAATCTTTAAGACTGCTGTTTCTTAATAAACATTCTACACATTTCATTAAAAAAAAAAAAAGGCATAAGAGGCCTTCTCTACCCCAGGTCCTATCCAAGCTCTGTATATACCCATAAATTGGAAGATGGATGATTATTATATTATTGATACTATAAATATTAGGGAAGAGTATGGTAAACAGGTAAAACTATTCTAATTTACATGTAATTTAGCCATTTAATTTTAATTGTTTTATATAGAAAAGATGACTCAAAAGTCAGTTAACCACAGGATTGAAATTAGACTTTTGACCCTAAACTATAACATATAACAGCCCTTTCTCTTTCACCAAATAATGATGCATAAAAAAATGTAAGGACCATAGACTCATAATGTAAGGCCCTAAGCTTCAGCTTATTTAGCTTCTTGTTCAATACACAAATTACAACATTGACATTGGTAAATTATTCATTTTCTTGCAAAACTTGCAGAATTGCTTGGGGGAAAAAAAAGGTTAACTGACTTTTGGGCCANTTTTTTAATTTTTAGCCATATTATAAAATCTTACCCTCTGTCTGCAATACAAAAGTCACCATTTATAATACCAGATTTTCTGGTTACAACTTCCTCAGGTTATTGTGGATATATGGATGTTAAACAGTGTAATTTACAGAAAATAATTAAAGTTCATTCCGATTTAAAATACGTAATTAAATGCCATCCAGAATTGTAAGTTTATTTTACTTAAAAAAAAAAAAAAGCTCTACTTAAAAATTTTCAATTAATTTTTATATATTTTCTAAGTCCTTGGTTATGCATTACACGAACTGATGGACTATTACGCTTATGGAACTATGAAACTAAGTACGCATTATGTTTATTATTTCTTAATTTACCATTTAAAATAGTTAAATTATTCGATTAATTAATGCTTTATTTATTAGAGAAGTTGATATTGAGAGCCTGTTTGAGCTTCCTGAAACAATTTCCTGCATGGAATTCGATCCAATTGGTGTTTATCTAGGTAAGAATTATATATAAAGATGATACTCTGTTGATACTCAAGTAACTTTATCACCTTTTAGCTGTAGGATTTACAGGGGGATATATCACTGTATTAGATATACCTTGTTTACTATTTACAAAACCCACTAAACTATCACTCAGCCTTGAAAAAAGGACAATTACTAAGTTAAAGTTTTCTGATGATGCTCAGTACTTGGCTGCTGCGGTAAATATGATCGATTCTCTTCCATATAATTTATAGTTCTATAGTTTCTGTATTTCATATAATAGGATGCAAACTACTCTGTACTAGCGTACAGATTCCAATTCAAGCGAAATCCTAAGAAAGACGTACATAGATCCGAGATTAAATGGGAATTACTTGGAGTTCAACGTTGTCACACACTTCCAATTGTCACTATACTCTTCAGACACGCTTCACATCTAGAATATCCACGTTTATTATCCCTAGGAGAAGATAAGAAATTGGTATTAATCTTTATCTTACAGAATATATAACATTAAAATTTATAAATTATATTATTATTTTTTTTAGTTTGAATACGAATTTATAAAAGGTAGAAAGATACAAATGTTACATTCGTACCAAATCGAACAAATTGCTGTTCCACTCGACATGGTTTGGGATCCATACATGAGTCAACATCTGATAATTGCTAATAATGACGTATAGATTGACAAATTATATGTTTAATCAATATTATGTTAATGTAATTATTTTTATTTTTTGTTAAATTTAGTATAAATTAAAGTTTTACGACGTGGAAGAACATTTATGCAGAAGGACCGTCTTGGCCCCTCTCCAGAAATCCGGGATGAAGTAACATATTTGTAGTTTCTCTGAGGGAATTTTATACTGTAATTTTTACTAATTTATTAATCAATTTTATACATAATAGGATGAAAATAATTTATAATCTGGAAGAATGTGAAAATGGAATTTCTGAAGAACCTCATCTTTTATGCTGTTCCAATGAATACGTATGTCTGAGTGTACTACCAGTTGATGGAAATCCTTACAAGCATATATCCGTATTAGCACATCCTGATGGGGTACTTTTATGTAAAAAATTTTTCATAAATTATGAAAAAAATATAAAAACACTCTTATTTGCCAGTTTAAAAAAACGTATTTTAAAATCGACCAATCAAATCGATGTAAATTTTAAATGTTTCAGTTATATCTTAACTATTACGAAACGAACCGCTTATGTTAATAACATTCATTTTTTGCTTAATTTTATTATTTTGCTTTAAAATTTTAACTTTTTATTATTTAAATTTATTCATTTTGACATGTATATTTTATATTTTATAAATATTTCTTGCTAGATTGTCGATTTTGACTGCAGTTTTGATGGAAAATATGTGTTTACAATTGGAGACAACGGTACAAGTATTTTTATGTGGCATTTAAATTACGGGTATGCAATTGTACTTATGAATTTTCTCTTAACGTTGAGTATGCTTTACAACTCAAAATTATTTAATTAATACATTTTATAGATTAATACATCGTTTGACGAAACTAGAACAAAGTATGACTCCTTTCTATGATATGTTTCCAGGAGGTATAACAGGATCATTGCTGAAGGAATTTAAAGATTTATTCGTTTATTTACTGATAAGAAAGTAGGTGAAAGTCTAAAATATGCTTACATGAGCTAATTATTCACGCAATTATTTTCTATAATCATCTATACAACTTATATAAACCTCCATAACTAGAAAGTTTCTTAACATATATAAACAATTTTATTACCAAAAGTTAACCTTATTTGTCTGTTAAAAGCATACCAATTTTCAAAACAGTCCAACTCCGGAAGCAGAAATTATTAGCAAATTTATTTCCGGCTTGCGTCGCTTCGCGACTCACTTAATTAACATAGATCGCGTCGCTTCGCGTGTAGTCGCATTTCGTCGCGTCCCATCGCCTCCCCATTTTTAAAAATCTAAATATACTAAAAACTTTTTAAACGTTTGAATAATGTTAAATAAGTGTTTATCTCCGTTTTTAGTTACTCTATTTTGCTTAATTTACGTTCCATCAATGTCAAATCCATGTTTATAACATGAATATATTATGATTCTTAGAGCTTAATGTGTTTTATATGTGTTATTATGAGCTTATGTGCTTTATATTCTTTAGTCAAAGCAAAGATCAAACAGAAAACCTGGAATTATCCTATAAAATTCCTATAAGCGACGTTCCTGATCTTCTAAGAGGTATTGGGTATTTTCCTGCAGAATATGAGGTATGGAAGTAATACTAACAAACCTTAACACAGTTATTAAAATACATATTTTTTAAATAAAAATTTATACTTAATTAATAAAATAAGTTTATTAATTATCCTACTTTTATTTTGTTAAAATTTATATTGTTTTTTTCCCAGCATCACATATCATTCCATCCAATACATTCTTCATATTTCATTTCAACAGGATCATATAGAGTGATATTCTATCAACTAGTAAGTAATTCATTAATGCATTTTTAAAACATTTTTATATATTGCAAACTTTAATATGCAATTTTATTTTTCTATAGTTAGATAATGAAAATATCCTTCATTACTATTCGCCGATTATAACCCATAAGGTAAGTTGTACCAATAGTAACTCCTTAAGATAAGCTGCACTAATTATAATTCCTTAAGGCAAGCTATATCAATAGTTATTCATTTAGATAAATACAGGATAAGTTGTACTAATTGTAGAACTTATCCTGTATGTTTTGATTATGATAAGCTGTATCAATTATAACTCATAATAACCTATAGAATTATAAAATTTATAACAAAAATAAACTGTTATTTATATAACTATTTAGGATTTTTCACGTTCTCTGGGTTTATTCAATCAAACTATTTATCTAAAATCACCAGATATTGCTCTGACAGCAACTTCTATGGGATATATAATTACTTGGGATAATCAATATGCAAAAGATAGTATGTTATTGGATTTATCTTATAAATTAATTTATTAATTGTATTAAAAATATATAAATTTGTTAATGAATTTTATCATTAGATAATGTATTAATCACACCACCTGATGAAAGAAGAGCTTTGAGATTCAATCAATGTAACTATAAGCAGGTATCAATTAATATCATCACCATAAGCAGAGATTATATAGTAACTGTTAATGAGGAAAATGTTATTGATTTTTATGATAAAGATCTGAAATTAATTTTCTTGTAAGTATTATTCATAATTTAACAGATTTTTTAAATAATAATTGTAAAATATTAAATATTAATTTTTTTTAAATAAAATTTGTATTTTTTAAGCTACAAAGAATCAAATATTGGTCTTATAAATAATATAATCTTCTCATTAGATGATATAAATGAGAATTTGGATAGGTGAGCTCTTTTTATAAATAATTTTTTTATAGTTTAAATTATAAAAATGGTTCAAATATTTAACTACCCATGTAGCATATACAATACTATATATTTGTTTTCTTTTGTTCTTGTATATACTGATATATATAGCTTTTGTTATCCTTGATATACATAATCCTTATAGACAGGGACACAGATAAGTTAAATAAGCTTGCATATAAACAAAACAAGCTGTGGCTTAGGGCCTCTCATTTTGACATGAGTATTATTTGATAAGGGAAAGGACCTATTATATGTTAAACTTTTGATCACAACAAAGTCCATCATTGCTTATAAACCTTTCTTATAGCCTATATTGCTATGCTTAAGTCATTTTTATGGGCAATTTAGGCTATATGATATATGTAACAATACATTTTTTATGAGTATACAAGGCTGTTGAGAGTGTGAGCTGGTTATTTTCTTCTAACTCCAAGAAAGCTTAGGGGTCCACAATGTTCTCTACTCCTATACATTNAAGCAGAAATTATTAGCAAATTTATTTCCGGCTTGCGTCGCTTCGCGACTCACTTAATTAACATAGATCGCGTCGCTTCGCGTGTAGTCGCATTTCGTCGCGTCCCATCGCCTCCCCATTTTTAAAAATCTAAATATACTAAAAACTTTTTAAACGTTTGAATAATGTTAAATAAGTGTTTATCTCCGTTTTTAGTTACTCTATTTTGCTTAATTTACGTTCCATCAATGTCAAATCCATGTTTATAACATGAATATATTATGATTCTTAGAGCTTAATGTGTTTTATATGTGTTATTATGAGCTTATGTGCTTTATATTCTTTAGTCAAAGCAAAGATCAAACAGAAAACCTGGAATTATCCTATAAAATTCCTATAAGCGACGTTCCTGATCTTCTAAGAGGTATTGGGTATTTTCCTGCAGAATATGAGGTATGGAAGTAATACTAACAAACCTTAACACAGTTATTAAAATACATATTTTTTAAATAAAAATTTATGTAATTATGTAGATAAAGGACATTATTCAAGAGATGAAATTGGATAACAAAGGTGGAAATGATGAGATATGTTTTGATGATGTGGTCAAATGTAAGTTAGCTATAAACATACTACAGTAATTATTATTAATAATATGTAATGAAGTTGCTTCTAAAGCTTTCTTCACAGTTTAAATGTCGATTGACTAATATAATTATAATTAAATTTTAATTATTTATATTTCTGTTTAGTATATATTAACCATAGGCCCGTCTGCGATACTATAGTGGAAGATCTAATGTGGTCCTTTGATGTGTTTACCAGAGATAAGGGAGGTTTCATGTCTAGTGAACAATTTGTTAGAATTTTGTTAGAGAAAGGTAAATTTCGGCCATTTTAAAGTATTTTTTAGGTTTAGAATCTATTTTATTATGTATTTTTCTGTGTTAAAATCCAATATTTTAGGAGAAAGTTTGAACGAAAGGGAACTTTTCACAGCTCTTCGCATAAACAAAGAAGTTGGAGCAGTCGAAGATGACGATTCTGATGAATTAGAATACATTACTGAATCACAAATAAAAATAAAATTTCAAAATTTCGTTGATAAACTTCCATTGGCAAGTACTCTTTTCATCTTTTAAATTGTTTACACATTCAAATGCTTCCAAATTTTCGGTTTATAAGCAAACTTTATGCAGTTTAGAAGTGGAAATTTGTATTAATTACTCAATTTTTTTTTTTGAAGGAATTAACAGTAGAGTTATTTTTGGAAGAGATCTATGGCTATGTAGCTGTCGCGATTGATGGTGATTTGGATGAAGATGCTGGAAAGATGAATCCTAAGAATTTATCTTAGCGCCATCTGTTATCAATTTCTATAAACAAAAAATGTTAAATATAAAATTATTCGCTTTTATATGCATTATTTTTCATTAAAATTTGTTATATTTATTATTATTTTAATAGCCAAAAATATTATCTACTTATATTATTATTTTTCTTTACTGTAAATTAATTTATAATACGAATTAAATTAATTTTATACACTAGATGGCGACACTAGAGCTGTTATATTTTAATAGATACGGTGTACTCTTTTATTTATTATTTCTTTCGTTTTTAACTTTATAAAAATATTACTTATTAAATATTTTTATTTTAAAATAAAAATTTGTAGAAATTGAATTTAAAATTTCAACAAAAATTTAATTTAATAATTACTATTATTTATTACTCGTATCTATAGATGGCGACACAGTAATTTACTGTAGAATTATTCAGTTTTTGAATCTTACTCAAATTTTTTTTTTGTTGATTTAAATTCTTAATTTATGACATATCATACTACAAATAAAACTACAATATAATTATTTTAATGAATTAATTTCTTATGAACAAAATGAATTTTAAAGATTTACACAAAAGATGGAAGCAGTCATATTGCATTTTCTCTACAAGCCAATGGCATGCCCCGCTTAATAAGTAACCGGCTGTCATTGGCTCGTTTTCCACTTCTTTTTCTTCTTACAAATTGGGATTGGCTACTCGAATCTTAATCCGCATGCAAGTCCATCTCTGATATACTGTAATAAATATGAGCTTGGATGATGTTGTTCATGATATTTGACTCCACGAGCGTGGACATTCTTCATTATATCAGATGATATTCTTATAAAATGTGATTGTAATTAGATGGTTTAAGTAAGTCTGTGTTATCATCCAAAGAAATGACCTGCCATCTTTGGATGATGATTGAAAGATGTGCTAGAATTGCATCTGGAAGAACTTAACGCTAAAGAAGTGCAGAATTACGGTAGTGTTGGCACGAAGCCTGCATGAAGAGTGAGCTAGATGTTTTCCTTGTTTTATAATAGAACACATATTTAATAGGAAAATACTTCATGAATATGCCTTTGAAGTCTTTTACCTATCTCTTCGATACTTCTAAACTCCGCTGTGTCTATCTCAAGATATACAAGGCCTAAGATTCAACGTAAACATCACAAGAATGCATTCATAAAAAGCTCTTAAACATTTAACACATACAAGGCCCTAAATCATTATCAAAATTTTATTTTTATTTCCTCATTCAAAAAATTGAATAAAGCGATTATTTAGTATTTGAAAAATAATTCTAACCTTAAATAAAAATTAAAACGTAAACCCCAAAATGACCAAAAAACGAAATATATGCTGCTAATATATATATACATACTACAATGAGATATGATCTTATTAGAAGTGGTTAGCCAACTTTTGGACCACCCCGCGCGCGCGGGGTGGTCCAAAAGTCGGCTAACCATATATCATGGCCTGCCTTTAAATGAATTTTTATTTAAATTATTCATATATTTGATTTTTTTTCACTAAAAATTTAAAAACTAAAATCACTTTTCGCTGCTTAAAAATGATGTAAAATGTCTTTTGAAGTACCTTTTACCGAATGGAAAAATTTAAATATTGAAAATTTCTTTTTGGAAAGTAAAAGTAAATGCTTTTAACTTTTTATGTAAATTTGTTAAAACCTCGTAAATTAAATTTTCTACTAAATAAAAATAAAATAAAACACAATTTACACAGAAATATTCGCATTTTTCTAAGCTTAGATACTTATTTAAATCCATTAAGAGTTGACGAAGTTAACCTTTCATTTGTTTCATACCACTTTAGGCAAAATATTCTTATTTTTTAATTATAAAAATAGATATAGGTTATTCCAAAAGTCAGTTTACCATCGCCAGTGTTTTTCTACTCACTAACTGACTTTTGGGCCGGCCTTTTATCGTATCGATTGCATTCACGCCATGTTTCGTGGGTCAAAAAGTATGGGATTTTAAACATTTATTTTTAAAAAAAACCTGATTAAAACGTAAAATCTGTTTAAATTGATCGCATTTTTGCGTTAAAAATCGTAAATTTCTATTGTCATAGTCGCGTTAAAAGTACAGAAAATAATAATTGATATAAGGGCTGGTCCAAAAGTCAGTTAACCGTTGTGAAGACTAACTTTTTTACCTTATTTTGTAATTCAATTTCGTAAGGGCGCGTTGTTCTGGACTCGCGGTTTCTGATTCACATTAGTGGCAGTTAACACACTTTTGGGCCACCCTTTATATATATATATATATATTTTTTTTTGTAATATATAATACGTGTTTGTTTGCAGGGTGGGCCTAGAGCTACTCAACAAGTTCGATGCTTTGTTACGACTGAACGATGTATGTGACAATGCGTTCAACACGTTACCCCCGTATGCATTATGGAAATCACTATAGAAGGGGTTTGGAATCCTTGTGGCTTCTATGTGGATGTATACTCGAGGAGTTATGCCCCATACTCCTTGAATTAGCCTGGTATGCTATGGAGATGTTCAATTGTCAAATCTTCACCAATCCAAGAAATGTGGTGGCAAATTTTGGCACGAGATGGAGGAAATTGTCTAATTGAGACGACTCTAATTAAGTAACAAAGCATTAAACTCGGTGGGTATCTTTTTATATCATCCTGTGTACTGTATTATACAATTGAAACCGTTCAGGGTGGTCCAAAAGTCAGTTTACCATTGCCATTGCTTTACTACTTACAATGGTAAACTGACTTTTGGGCGTCTTTAATCACTTTTTTTCTCCCATTCTTATATTTAAGTTAAAAATAATGACAAACAAGTAAACTAGTCACTAACTTTATTACAATTTTACAAGCAACAGTTTGTTTTTTTTCATTTTATTATTTTTATTTTTCTAATCAAATTGGTCCAAATAAAGAAATATATAATATAATATTTTCTTTCATCTTGGTGCTCCTTTTCTGCAGCAAAAAAAAAAAGATTAATAAATTAATTTAAAAAAGAAAACAAAGAAGTGTTTGAAATATCATGAAAAAGTGTGTTCCTCCCTGGCAACAAGTGAGTTATATTTTCTTTAATTATATATCTAATTACTAATAATTGTTACTAAGAGGTATGTTTAACAATAGAATATCCCATAATATACAATAATTAACCTGAATTCACGCGCTTATATACACTAGAAACCAATTTATACTACAGTTTGATGGGGCAAGTTGCACTCTCAAATCATTGAAAAATTAGGATTTTCCTACAATTTGTTCATTGCCTCTTCAGTGTTTTCGTATTCAAATTAGACATTTTTCTTCTTCTAATTTGTATTCGCATTTTTCTAAGCTTAGATACTTATTTAAATCCATTAAGAGTTGACGAAGTTAACCTTTCATTTGTTTCATACCACTTTAGGCAAAATATTCTTATTTTTTAATTATAAAAATAGATATAGGTTATTCCAAAAGTCAGTTTACCATCGCCAGTGTTTTTCTACTCACTAACTGACTTTTGGGCCGGCCTTTTATCGTATCGATTGCATTCACGCCATGTTTCGTGGGTCAAAAAGTATGGGATTTTAAACATTTATTTTTAAAAAAAACCTGATTAAAACGTAAAATCTGTTTAAATTGATCGCATTTTTGCGTTAAAAATCGTAAATTTCTATTGTCATAGTCGCGTTAAAAGTACAGAAAATAATAATTGATATAAGGGCTGGTCCAAAAGTCAGTTAACCGTTGTGAAGACTAACTTTTTTACCTTATTTTGTAATTCAATTTCGTAAGGGCGCGTTGTTCTGGACTCGCGGTTTCTGATTCACATTAGTGGCAGTTAACACACTTTTGGGCCACCCTTTATATATATATATATATATTTTTTTTTGTAATATATAATACGTGTTTGTTTGCAGGGTGGGCCTAGAGCTACTCAACAAGTTCGATGCTTTGTTACGACTGAACGATGTATGTGACAATGCGTTCAACACGTTACCCCCGTATGCATTATGGAAATCACTATAGAAGGGGTTTGGAATCCTTGTGGCTTCTATGTGGATGTATACTCGAGGAGTTATGCCCCATACTCCTTGAATTAGCCTGGTATGCTATGGAGATGTTCAATTGTCAAATCTTCACCAATCCAAGAAATGTGGTGGCAAATTTTGGCACGAGATGGAGGAAATTGTCTAATTGAGACGACTCTAATTAAGTAACAAAGCATTAAACTCGGTGGGTATCTTTTTATATCATCCTGTGTACTGTATTATACAATTGAAACCGTTCAGGGTGGTCCAAAAGTCAGTTTACCATTGCCATTGCTTTACTACTTACAATGGTAAACTGACTTTTGGGCGTCTTTAATCACTTTTTTTCTCCCATTCTTATATTTAAGTTAAAAATAATGACAAACAAGTAAACTAGTCACTAACTTTATTACAATTTTACAAGCAACAGTTTGTTTTTTTTTCATTTTATTATTTTTATTTTTCTAATCAAATTGGTCCAAATAAAGAAATATATAATATAATATTTTCTTTCATCTTGGTGCTCCTTTTCTGCAGCAAAAAAAAAAGATTAATAAATTAATTTAAAAAAGAAAACAAAGAAGTGTTTGAAATATCATGAAAAAGTGTGTTCCTCCCTGGCAACAAGTGAGTTATATTTTCTTTAATTATATATCTAATTACTAATAATTGTTACTAAGAGGTATGTTTAACAATAGAATATCCCATAATATACAATAATTAACCTGAATTCACGCGCTTATATACACTAGAAACCAATTTATACTACAGTTTGATGGGGCAAGTTGCACTCTCAAATCATTGAAAAATTAGGATTTTCCTACAATTTGTTCATTGCCTCTTCAGTGTTTTCGTATTCAAATTAGACATTTTTCTTCTTCTAATTTGTATTTTATTTATTTATTTTTTAATTTGTTCACCATTCTAATTTCTTTTTATATACAAAGAATATAAGCTCCATCATCAAAAAATGTCATGACCATTAATTGATATATATATATAAATATATCAGCTATATTGCTTCTAGATATGTGTTTATTTAATTATTAAATTATAAAATACACATGTAGGAAGGGGGAAAAAATTCAATTTTTTAAAATGATTTTAAGGTATTTTTTAACTTTAAAGTGCTGATTTTTGTTAAACAATCACTACTGAATTTTTTGCAATTTTTTTTTGATTTTTTTGTTATTTTTTTAAGTTGCAAAAGTGCTCCATTTTTAATGTGATTTTGATTAATTTTTTTTAAGTGTATCACAATTTTTTATTGATTTTTTTAAATAATGAATAGATTTATTATATATCTAGAGCTAAATTACTAATTAAGTAAGGTTATATAATTAATTTTTTAAAGACTTTCTTTGATAAATGAGCAAATTTCCTGGGCAAGTACCCAAGAATTAATTGATTTTTTTTCAGAGATTGGTAAATTTCTTGGATAAATTCCCTCGAAGAATTTCATTTGTTTGATGATTTTCTCTGATAAATGGGCAAATATTCAAGAATTTTAAAGATTTTCTTGGATAAATGCCCCAGGAATTTCATTTATTTGGAGATTTCCTTTGATAAATGATTAAGTTTTCTGGACAAATATTCAAGAATTTATTGGATTTTCTAAAGATTTTCTTTGATAAACTGGTAAATTTCTTGTCTGAGTGCCCCAAAAATTTCATTTATCTAGAGATTTCCTTTGATAAATGGGCAAATACCCAAGAATTTATTAAAGTTTTAAATCTTTTCTTTGATAAATGGGCAAATTTCTTGGATAAGTAAGTACTCAAGAACTTTAGAATTTATTTAACTTACTANTATATATATATATATACGTAATAACCGTTAATAATGAATTTAATTTTTACACAATAATAAATTACAATAGCAACTATTGTTGAAACAAAATTTCCCCATGACACAACAATAAAAATATCGTTACTAGTTTTAGAAGTTGATGACGTAACAATGAATTTCTATTATTACGTAAACGATAAGTATTATTGACTATTATTACGTAATAATTTTTTAAAAATCTATCGACAAGTTGTGTACCTTTCCGGACAGAAAAGTTAAAATCGTTTGTAGCTCCATCTGTTGCGGGATTTTATTTTAAAAACTTTTTATATATTTCTAGTTATTATAAAATGGCAAAAAGACTAATTTTAAAAATAATTCTAAAGAATAATAACGAGTAAAATCTTCATTAAGTCCGACCCCACTGGAGATGTGACTCGTTAACTCCCACTCTATCTCCTCACTCCCTTGACCTTTAACCACCAAAATTCACTAGCATCAATGTCCCTAATACACAGACCTCCATGCAAAATTTTAGAAATTTTCGACTACAATACAGGAAGTTATTAAGCTTCAAAGTGGGTGAACAAAATCGTGCTCTTCACACACACCCAAACACACAAACATATAAAAATAACTTAATTTTTTTGCATTTCTGTTTTTTTTTTTTTTTGTTTGTTTGCACCTGAAGAATCACATTAACAAACATTTGCCCTTCAATTTCTCTTTTCGTAGCTCAGATTTCGTCTTTTTCGTGTCCAATTGTAGGCTCACGGTCCTTTTTTTCTCCATGTTCAGCAATTCTTGGAATAATTCTTTAACGTTGTAATTAGTTTTCGCTGAAGTTTCCATAAAACCGCAGCCCCATTTTTTAGCCTGATCCATTCCATATTGATTTTCCACTTCTCTACTTTCAGTCTCGTCGCATTTGTTACCTACTAACATAATTGGTATGCCTTCTATGTCCCCTTTCACCTCTTTGATCACCTGAAAGATCGGTTTGATCTCTTCTAAACTCTGCTTGCTTGTAATGGAGTATACCAGGATGAATGCGTGACCCTTTGAAATATTTAGTCGTTGCATGGCTGGGAACTGATGGCTTCCTGTTGTATCTGTTATCTGAAGCGTACATATGTTCTTGTTGCAGCTGATCACCTGGGGAAAAAAAATGACACCCAATGTCAATATATACATATAAGTAACACTAAACGTCAATATACAGATATAAGNGAGCTAAATTACTAATTAAGTAAGGTTATATAATTAATTTTTTAAAGACTTTCTTTGATAAATGAGCAAATTTCCTGGGCAAGTACCCAAGAATTAATTGATTTTTTTTCAGAGATTGGTAAATTTCTTGGATAAATTCCCTCGAAGAATTTCATTTGTTTGATGATTTTCTCTGATAAATGGGCAAATATTCAAGAATTTTAAAGATTTTCTTGGATAAATGCCCCAGGAATTTCATTTATTTGGAGATTTCCTTTGATAAATGATTAAGTTTTCTGGACAAATATTCAAGAATTTATTGGATTTTCTAAAGATTTTCTTTGATAAACTGGTAAATTTCTTGTCTGAGTGCCCCAAAAATTTCATTTATCTAGAGATTTCCTTTGATAAATGGGCAAATACCCAAGAATTTATTAAAGTTTTAAATCTTTTCTTTGATAAATGGGCAAATTTCTTGGATAAGTAAGTACTCAAGAACTTTAGAATTTATTTAACTTACTACAACTATTTCTTGTGCTTATAAAATGAACAAATAACAATTTTTTAAGCAATTTGCTTATACTTTTTGACCTTCGCTTGACCTTCGTTATATATTAAAACAATTTTAAAAAAATCCTATAATTATATATTAATTAAGTGTAAGGTTGCATTCTTGTATTCCTACGCTGATTATTAATTATACAACGTTGCACAGCACCATTATAATAGAAGAAATTAATGCAAAATATATATCCTTATGCACGTGTTCAAGATGATTAAGTTCTGCCCCCATGGGCATATATTTATTTTTTTTTTATAAATTAANATTTTCAATCCGAAACACGGAATTTTCCACTTTGATGCCTCTAAAGGTGATTTTTTATAGTAGAGCAAGAATATATTCATCGCTTTTTTCCCCCATATATATATATATATGTAGAGAGAGAGAGAGAGAGATTCACATATATATATGGTCCCTTCATAGAATCATCTTCGATATGTCGTTCGAAATTGTGTTTTTTTTTTTTTTGTTTGTTTGCACCTGAAGAATCACATTAACAAACATTTGCCCTTCAATTTCTCTTTTCGTAGCTCAGATTTCGTCTTTTTCGTGTCCAATTGTAGGCTCACGGTCCTTTTTTTCTCCATGTTCAGCAATTCTTGGAATAATTCTTTAACGTTGTAATTAGTTTTCGCTGAAGTTTCCATGAAACCGCAGCCCCATTTTTTAGCCTGATCCATTCCATATTGATTTTCCACTTCTCTACTTTCAGTCTCGTCGCATTTGTTACCTACTAACATAATTGGTATGCCTTCTATGTCCCCTTTCACCTCTTTGATCACCTGAAAGATCGGTTTGATCTCTTCTAAACTCTGCTTACTTGTAATGGAGTATACCAGGATGAATGCGTGACCCTTTGAAATGTTTAGTCGTTGCATGGCTGGGAACTGATGGCTTCCTGTTGTATCTGTTATCTGAAGCGTACATATGTTCTTGTTGCAGCTGATCACCTGGGGAAAAAAAATGACACCCAATGTCAATATATACATATAAGTAACACTAAACGTCAATATACAGATATAAGAAACGTCAATAGAAAATACTAGATACAGGCAATAGGGAATAGTGTGGTCACATACTGTGATAAAATTGCCGAAAGTTGAATGAAATGTTTAAAAAACTTTTGCAAAAGTTATGAAAAAATTGACTTATGTACGTACAGAATGGAGTAAAAGTCAATTAACTGAGATAGGCGCAGTCAAAACCTCGAAATAGCGCTACTCTTGTAAATGCAATTACGCTTTACTTGTATGCCATTCATTTGTTTGCATCTGAAATTGCCATTAAACTGGGGGACTTCAAACAATGAAAATTATATGTTACAGCGAGGTTAATTATGTGAATGTCTTATCATTTGGTGATTGGGTAGCGCTATATCGAGGTTTGACTGTCTTCAAGATTATATTTTGCGTTTAACAATAAGCAGCCTAAAATAATATAAATTATCTCGGTTAACTGATTTTTGGATCACCCCGTGTTTATTAAATTTACAATTTCGAATTTTTTTTTATTTTCCTAATGTTTTTGAATTAATTTAAAAATGTATAAATAGCGCTAAATCGAGTACGGCGCTATACCGAAATACCTCGAACAATAAGAATTGCATATAGTGATGGTGTCTACACACACACAAATTTGTGTTTGTTAACACCAAATCTCGATTTTCAATGTACGATTTTGCATTGTAAACGTCTAGTAACGCTATTTAAGGGAACACTATATCGAGTTAAAATCGTACATTTAATGTTAAAGGTTTTATAGATATGTTAAGTATTTAGTATTTACGGGAAAACCTGTTCGCGAGTGCTTTACGAGAATGGCATTATATCGAGGTTCGACTGATAGAGTTTATACAGTGTACAATGAAACCTCTTACTATATTAAGAATTCACACTACATGTATAAAAAATAGCAAGAACTATTCACTATATCGAGAACTACTACACAGAATGGATGCTCAATATAGCGAACTCAAAAATAACTGAACTAAATCATCCATTATGTACCGTACTTAGAGAATAGCGTAGGACAGGTAAATTCATTATATCGAGTGATCACTACATCGAGAGTCCTCTGTATACAGATTATTAGTCGCTAAGTACTGTAGTTTGTCTTGTTAATCCTGAGATATGGAGGTGAATTGACAGATGATGTCCTTTTACAAGTACAGTACAGTACTTTTAAGTTGGTTTAGGAATGAAGTTGTCACTGTGGCTATTTATTTTTCATTTTTCTCCTAACTTATCTATTAAAAAAAATCTAGAAAATAAGGAAATTTACCTATTTTTTTCCCTAGAATACTTTTTAAATACCTGTAATAAAGGCCACCTTTAAACGGCGGCCAGAAAGGAACCTCCAAAAACAATGGTCATTTTTCATGGTCGTCAGTGGAGGTTTAAACTAAATATATTCTTTTATATATATATATATATATATATATAAAAGACGCAAACACAANCGTAATAACCGTTAATAATGAATTTAATTTTTACACAATAATAAATTACAATAGCAACTATTGTTGAAACAAAATTTCCCCATGACACAACAATAAAAATATCGTTACTAGTTTTAGAAGTTGATGACGTAACAATGAATTTCTATTATTACGTAAACGATAAGTATTATTGACTATTATTACGTAATAATTTTTTAAAAATCTATCGACAAGTTGTGTACCTTTCCGGACAGAAAAGTTAAAATCGTTTGTAGCTCCATCTGTTGCGGGATTTTATTTTAAAAACTTTTTATATATTTCTAGTTATTATAAAATGGCAAAAAGACTAATTTTAAAAATAATTCTAAAGAATAATAACGAGTAAAATCTTCATTAAGTCCGACCCCACTGGAGATGTGACTCGTTAACTCCCACTCTATCTCCTCACTCCCTTGACCTTTAACCACCAAAATTCACTAGCATCAATGTCCCTAATACACAGACCTCCATGCAAAATTTTAGAAATTTTCGACTACAATACAGGAAGTTATTAAGCTTCAAAGTGGGTGAACAAAATCGTGCTCTTCACACACACCCAAACACACAAACATATAAAAAAAACTTAACTTTTTTGCATTTCTGGACGTTTTAAGTCCCCCCCAGTGTCCAGAAATGTAAAACATCTTTGGGGGGGTCATTTTTTTGACCGATATCCATACATTCCCTCTGTTACATACAACATCCAGAAAGTTAATAATAAAATTCCTCGTGTAAAAAGTAACGAAATTACTTAATTTCATTTTATAATTAAGCCATCTTTTCTTCAAGAATATTTAACAAATTCATTGAATTAAAATGTTACAAAATCATTTTCTAACTTAAATATTTACTTTCTTCAACTCCAAAGGAAGGACTTAAATTAAATTCACACTTTCCTAACATATTTAAGCTTTATTAAATGGCACATTAATGACGAAATTACTTTAAAAAAATTATCTTTTTAATTACATTTTTTAATATATATATATATTTTTTTATTATTTTATTAAATTAGAAAATGCATTTTAATGGTTGATAAAATTTCTCATAATTATCGTTAGGGAGTTGAACAAACTCATCAAAATAAATAAGATTTCAGAAGATTTTTTCACTTGGAATGATCTCGGGCAGTTTCGTAAACATTGATTTGTAAGTGCTTCTGGCTATTTAAATAACTCCACTTCGATTGCTTTCATTTTCAAATTTCTTAGTTATTTAAAAGTCAAAAATATGTTATCGATTGTTACGTAATTGCAAATTTTCTGTTAACACGACTTTCTCCTGTATTTTTTCTTCTGTTTTTACTTTTATTTTTATTGTTACGTCACTCGATTTTTTTATTTTGTTAATTGTTACGTCATTTGTGTTTTTAATAATTGTTACGTCATTTGTGTTTTTAATAATTGTTGCGTCATTTGTGTTTTTAATAATTGTTGCGTCATTTGTGTTTTTAATAATTGTTACGTCATTTGTGTTTTTAATAATTGTTACGTCATTTGTCTTTTTATTTGAATTTTTATTAATTGTTGCGTAATTTGTTTTCGTTTTTTCCTTGCTTTGTTAATTCTTGCGTAATTTGTTTATAAAGTTTAGATAAAATAAAAACAATGGTAAATGACATAGCAATTAACAAATAAGCAAAACAAATAAAATAGCAAATAACGTAACAGTTAACAGAGTAAATAAAACAAAAAATAAACAAAGTAACAATTAATAAAATTCAAACAGAAAATGATACGACAATTAATGAAATTTAAATAATACAGAAAAAAAAACATTGTTATGCCGTATTGTTTTCTTCTCTGTTTTGAATTTTTATTGTTACGCCATTTTTTAAAATTTCTATAATTAATGAAGAGCGTAACATTTTATATATTTGTATATTTTCGTAATTACAAATTAAAATATTTGTAATGAGTTTTAGTCTGATGTATTAAATTCATAATA